CAACTCATTTTAAAACTGGACATTTGATAAATGTTTATTGAGCATTTCTTGTGCCATAGACAATGGTGTGTGTATATTGCAGGGTTAGTAAAAAAGGAAGTCCCTGTTCTGGGGAGAGGGGTGGCTGTCTAGTAAGAGAAAGATAATCCTTTGACCCTAAAGAGACAAAATCAGGTTTTCTCTTTAAAGTTGAGTAAATATTAGAACATAGGAATTTAAGTGGCAATAGGAAATACTCTCTGCCTATTTTTTGATGCCTGAAATTTTTTTCACATGGAACTATCGTTTTTATTTTTTAAATTGAGATAACAGGTGTAAAATACGTGTAAGATTTATTCCTAGTAAAGTATACTCAATAAACTTATAGCATCAAATTTTGTTTTGATAGAGGAAAGAAGAGTAGCATCAAAAGATAACAAAAAATATTTTATTAGACTCAGACCTTAATATTTTGTTAGGGAAAGCTGTATAGAAATATCTTTATCTCATTCATTCCCCACTTAAATACAGTGCCATGCCTTGCTATTGACATTCCACATTATTGATGATGAGGGCAAATTTATCACCCACATTAAAAACCTGGTAAGATTTACCAGATTCGAATTTCCCTGGTTTAATTTGTTTATAGTTGGATAGTGGAGCAGGAGTTTATTTCTGAAATAGACTTTTTTTTTTTCTGCCAACGCAGTGCTATTTAGCTGTGTTTAAAAAGCAGGAATGTTATTTACATTTGAAGTGGTCTTTAGCCCAAATAACCATAGTTATTATGTAGATGGGTATTCCAAGCACTGGGTTGTTTGTTAAGGTCTTCCCTCTACTGGTTTTTTGAGAATTTTAGTGGAAACCCCAGCTACCATGTGATTCAGACTCCATGCGAAATGTTTCTTCCCTTTGTGCTCTATGCCACAAATGTATACTTGGAAACATGCTATTGGTTTTTTGCAGGAAAACAGGATCTTCAAAACTTTTCATTTGAATGGGGTCCATCTCCTTTTCTTGAATCAAATATTTTCCAGCTAAAAATGGGTTATTTGGCTTAACTTTTTATTAATAATCATTAATAGTTCAAGAAATAAGCAAATTTATCAACAACTCTTCAGAAAGTATAGTTTATAATTTTAGAGCTAAGGGCATATATTATATATTGGCTTTGTAATAAGCTTAAATGATTAATTATACCATTCAGATTAGACTGTGTCCCAGTTTAGAGTCTAACTTGAACTTTTGTTTATGATATAGAATTTGCTCAGCCTTTGAAAAGAGTTTTGGGTTGATGGCACATCTATAATTTTGTTCTCCTTCCATGAGCTCTTTCTCTTCTCTTATAGATGTGTTGCTTTTCTAGTCTCACCTTGAAGAAGTTATCTGAAGTTGTAATTCTCTTTAAAACTTAAGAGGAAAGTAAAAGTATAATCACAGAGAGAATTTCATATGGATATTCAGTGGCAAGTGAGCCAGGCTTGGTAGCCTTTTAGGATAAAATAGGCATCTTTGGAAAACCTGACTCTAAATTAGGGTCTCATACCTTTTTTTTTTCCTTTGCTTTTTCTTTTTCTTTTTTTCTTTTTGTCAGTAGTGGAACGATTCACCCTTTTTACTTGCAAAAGGGGAACAGAAAGTGACTATATTTCTTTAGGGCATTTACAGTTTTCTTCACCTTAAGAAGAAACTGAATAAAATGGGGTTTGTATCTTTCTATAAGAATTACTTTTTATTTAGGAAATTGAGAAGTTTCTGGTCAGGAACTTTTTTGGCATTTGGCCCAGTTCTGTCCAGAAGAAAAAGGGCTTAAAATTTTAGACTTTTTGATTCTCTAAAGAATGAAACTCCTTATGATAGAGTAATAACTAGGAAAACCTTATTATATAACCTGAATCATGTCCCCACTAGAGATATGAAAACATTTCATAATCAAAATTTTCTACATATGGTAAAAAATTATATGGGGAAAAGTCAAGGATCCAATGTTTAAGCCAAATTATTCGCCAACTACTTAAACCTTTTGTAGACTTAGTATTGCTCTGTGTACTTCAAGGTTGATTATAAAGATAAGCCTAGTCCTTGCCCAAATAAAGATGAGGGGGAGAGTCAGTACTGTGCAGTTTTGACATTCTACGTGCTTTACATTTATTTTGACAATCTCATAAATCTGCAAATAGCCCTCTTTTCTGATGAGGGAACTGGAGTTCAAAAAAGGTAAAACCACTTGGCTAGTAATTAATGGATTAGAACCCAACTTTTCAACTCTGAAACTTTATCCATAAACCTTTCTGAAAGGTAGGAATAAGTGTAGTCAGAGCAAAGTATGTTGGTTGCTAGATGAGTGTTACTACAAAGTGCTAATAAGACAGTTCAGAAAGAAGAAAAATCCTGTCTTATGAGCGATCAGTAGAGACTTTGGGAGGGATCATTTAGTTTGACCTTGAGTAGAAAGGAGAGACTGAGTTAGGAATTCATTTTTATTATCAGAATGCCCTTATCTGAAAGAGACCTCCAATATATTTTGGGTTTGAGGCAGTTGCTAAGCCCTGTCTCTAAGGTTTGGGTTAGAATCCTAGGGTTCCCAGTTCTACTTTTGAGACCCCAGACTTGACTATAAAGTTAGTAAAGGTGATAGGAGTATTTGCTGCACCCTATATAGTACCAGGATAGCTTTGCATAGAAGGTGATGCAACTTGGATTTGTTTTTATTGACAGCATCTCATTTTCTTCCCTTCCTACTCCAATTGTGTTGTGGTAGGAATTTGAGATAGAGTATCTTCAGGATGATGTGGACATAGTCCTATCTCCATCAACTTCAAGGTCACACAAAGTGGCTTACTGAATAATTGGCTCTATGCACTGTCTGACTTATCCTGGAGACTCCAGACTTCGATAAAATGCTCATCCTTTTATTTATTTTTACTTTAGAGAGAAACATCGATTTGTTTTCCCACTTACTTATGCATTTATTGGTTGATTCTTGTACGTGCCCTGACCAGGGATCGAACCCTCAATCTTGGCAATGCTCTAACCAACTGAGCTACCTGGCCAGGGCAAAATGCTCATTCTTTTAGACAGTGTTCTATAGTTTGAAATAACTCCTAAAAGTGATGAGATATTTGTAAGAGGGAAGGAAATGAATAGACACCCGTAGATTTTCCAGGCATATTGGGTGGCTGAGAGAAAATAGCAGATGTGAAAAAAGCATACATTCATTCTGTTAAGTGTTTGGGGAGGAGAAAAAACCAACTAGATCTGACAGGCTCTAGTAATCATATAATAGTTCTGACAGGCTCTTCCTCTCTGCTTCATTTTCTTCAGAAAGAGGAAATTGGAATCCATGTTTATTTAAAATATTTGATCATCCATCTTAAAGTGGTTTTTATAAAAATCGTAATTCTGGGCAACTAGCCTCAGTAAAACAATTTTGCCAGCTGTTGGTTACTTGAGCGTCCTCAAAATAAAGGTAAATGAAAATAAGACTAACTGCTTTTAGACAGCAGTGGTCTTTCCTTGAGTTCTATAACCATTTTTTTCCTTAAAAAAAAAAAAAAAAAAAAAAGGCAGTACTTCCATTTATATAGGAGGGATTGTTACTATGTCAAGTCTGTGTAAACGTACACATGTATGTGTTATACAGGAGCTTCCTTTCTTCCCACCCCTTTTAGAGTTGATGGCTTTGTCCCTGATTGTTCAGTATAATAGTTTGCAGATTCACTAAGAGAGCTTGTGTAGTAATGCTTGCTTTATTTTTTTTTTCTCTTCCACTCTTGTTTTATTTTACTTTTTTTCTTTGTGATGTGACATTTTCAGCTGATGTATTGAAAGCAAATCCTTCTAATTTGGGAGCCCAGATCACAAGAGTGAGTTTTTCTACTAGTGTCTTTAGCTGTACATCTTTCTTTGTGTGTGTCTTTCCACCCTTTGCCCTTCCCAATTCAAAAATACTCAAAACACATTTCATAAATACTAGCTAAGAAAATTCCTCTGTCTGTTGAACATCGTGACTTTCCACAAAGCAATGTCCACTTTATATTGGGTCAAATTCTTTTTCCCAATGCTGTGGTAAAAACATAGGCTAATGTATGTGTTTTGGTTTCTTTTGGTTTTAATGTTAGTGTGTTAAAAATAATTTTAGTTCTGTCTTCATTGCAGATAGATATGTCTGGACTCTGTTACCAGTGTGTCATAGCACTGTTCTTTTTTGGTTCTTGTTCTTTTGTTTTAAGGAAAAATATATAATAGCTTCTGAGGATAAAAGACCCATTCTTTTATTAGGATTTTAAGTAATAAATTCTTTGACTTATCTCTATTCTCCCTTCTCATCCCCTGGATGTTCCTCTCAGGGCCATGAAGCAATGAAAAGCTACACATATTACTGTCTAATTTCACCAGAATGACCGGATGAAACATGGTCGAACTGGTGAGCTCCGAACATGCTAGTAGCATTGGAAAACGGTTTGTTTGATAGTCACAGGAAAACTGTTCATGCTAAAAAGAAATAATAGCACCTTTTTATGGTGAAATAAAAGTATGCTTTCTATTTGTTAGTTCTGATTCAAATAACCTCCCCATGTAAGCTGTACATTGCTTTTTAAGATCTTACACCTGGGTAACTTTCTGTACTAGTTTAACCCCTTTCTGTTTTCTTTGGCTTGTGTTATTACAATTTATCTCATGTTCTATTTGTCTGGTTTTGCATCCTGGAAGAGCAGGTGATTAAATAGTCCCTTTTCTTTCTTCCTAGTGTTCTAAAATTTGCTCATTGCTTCTGACATCATTTAAGTTTTCCCAATAAAGCAAATGGTATGCTGTCTTAATTAGAAATGCAGATACTACAAGTGTGTTACCCAAAGTAATCAGCCATTGTGTTTTCTATTACCAGAAGAGAGTATAACAATGTATTCTACACTAGCACTATAACCATTGATTGAGGGTAAATTTTAAAGGCCTTGTTTTCAGGATCCCCAAGTTACTCTAAATCACCCACCCTCTGTTCCCTTCTTTTGTTACCCCAGAGATTGAAAGATCTCAAGCAGAGAGAGTTTGCTCGAAATGTTTCTTCAAGATCCCGCAAGGATGAGAAGAAACAGGAAAAAGCCCTTCGGCGTCTCCATGAGTTGGCAGAGCAAAGAAAACAAGCTGAATGGTGAGGACATTTTCTCTCAGAGAGTCTATGGATAATTATAATCCTTAAGATTTAAGAATTATAATGCTTAAGTTTTTTTTTGTTTTTTGGTGTGTTTTTTTTTAAATATATTTTATTGATTTTTTACAGAGGAAGGGTGAGGGATAGAGAGTTAGAAACATCGATCAGCTGCCTCCTGCACACCCCTACTGCGGATGTGCCCGCAACCAAGGTACATGCCCTTGACCGGAATCGAACCTGGGACCCTTGAGCCCGCAGGCCAACACTCTATCCACTGAGCCAAACCGGTTAGGGCAATGCTTAAGTTTTTAATAGATTCCCTCTTTCAACCTAAAAGCATATCGATACTTAGAGTATGATATACTGATTAAGAAGATGCTCATCTGAGGCCATATTCTACAATCTGTGTGATCTTAAATTATCTAACCTCTATGCCTCAGTTTTCTTATCTGTAAGATGGAGATGGTAATAACAGTCTAATCTCTATAGTTGTGAAGAGTGATTAAGTTATTACATTAAAAGTGCTTAGTACATATAAATTACGCTCAATAAATTATACACTATTATTGTTCCTATCTCCGACATTCATTCTTATGTAGAAAAGCACATTTGTTACATTATTATTTTATAACCAAAAAGTACCGCAGCACAGATTCAAGTGTAGTAAATGCCTTTAAGTACTATAAGTTAGTACTAAACACTATGAAACCTAGGGAATGCTCTGAGGTTCCTGCTTAACAGTTTGGAGCTGGTATTTTGCCTTCGGTGAAATTTTTTCCACTTAAGGCTGAATTTCTAAGCAATTAGACTTTGGGGACCCAGTCTTTAAGCATCGGAAGATTTGTGAATATATGCTCAGTTAGAAGGACTAGACCCCCCCATGTTTGTTTGTTTGGTTTGGGTTGAGTTGATTTTTTTCTCCCTTTATTTTGTTATTTTTTTCCATCATCATTTATCCCCCATATAACCTCCTCCACCCCCCCCCCCACCCGTGCTTGTTCTGTTTTTATTTTTTTTATTTTTAATTGATATCAGAGAGAGGAAGGGAGAGGGAGAGAGAGATAGAAACATAAAACTGCCCTCCTGGTTCATGGATCAGTGCTCAACCACTGAGCCACACTGGCTGGGCCCCATGTTTGTTTGTTTTTTAAAATACATTTTTATTGATTTCAGAGTGGAAGGGAGAGAAAGATAGAAACATCAGTGATGGGAGAGAATCACTGAATCATTGATAGGCTGCCTCCTGCCCTCCCCCACTAGGGATTGAGCCCACAACCTGGGCCTGTGCCCTTGACCAGAATTGAACCCAGGGCCCTTCAGTGCGCAGACTGACACTCTGCCCACTGAGCCAAACCAGCTAGGGCCCCATGTTTATTTTTAATGGTTGACCAGGACCAAAGGAAGGAACTGGTTACAGTTATAAGATAAACTGATTGCTCCTATTAAAAGTTTACAGCCTCATTCCTGGACTTACTAGGTTTATTTTTGTCTCTGGATCCTGTTTTACTTATTTACTTCTCTTATGTTTTGGAGACAGAGGACGGGAGAAAACACATATTAGTGTAAGTTTTGAAACAGAATTGACCTGAGCCCTAGTGTTGAGTTAAACTGTCTATAGATTTCTTCTTTGGCAGCTCTTTATGTAGTAAAACAATTCCTCTTGTACATGTTGCAAGGGTACCTCCTTAAAATATATATAACAGACCACTTTCTAGTTCAGGACATTTTTTAATACATGTTTTTCTTCAGAGGTGACTTTCCTCAGTTTTACAAACAGCTAAACAATGACTGAGTAATCTCTTGGGAGAATAAAAGAAAGTTTTGAACCCTCATCAGATATTTAATTGTCCTAGGAGTAATGCATGACCCCATAGTAAGTAAATATTACTGAAGTAACATGGCAAAGACTAAGCAAATATCAAAATAAGTCCCTTTTTATTCAGTTTGAGGTTTTCTTTGCTGTGTGGTAGGTTTTGTGACACAGTGTAAGTATCTATTGCTATCCACATCTGTTGGGTTCCTATCTTCCGATAGTAAGGGATACCACATTATCCAAATATATTTGATTCCTGAATTTAAGACAGCTAGTAGGTAGAGTTCAGATAACGAGGACTTAAAATAGGTATCTTAGTTCTTCAATTTAGCTTGAGAGATGCCTTTATAGTTCACATACTATAAAAATTTCCAGCATACAGGGTTTTAAAATGTTGGCTTTGAGGCTCCTCAATGTTCCTGTTTTCAAACCTGAGAAAGTCCTTAGTAGCATCGTGATCGTTGTATGTAATGCCCAGAAAGAATCAAAGCCAAAGCAGCTGGCCGGTGTGGCTCCGTGGTTGAGCATTGATCCATGAACCAGGAGGGCAGTTTAATGTTCAGTTCCCCGTCAAGGCACATGCCCAGGTTCTGGGGGCGTGCAGTAGGCAGCTAATCAATGATTCTCTCTTATCATTGATGTTTCTACCTCTCCTGCTCCCTCCCTCTCTGAAATCAAATTTTTTTAAAAAAAAAATTTTTTTTATAAGTAAATGCTTAGATGTGGGGCCCAGGAAATAGGCACAGACCCTTCATTTCTAAAACAGACATACTAGCCACAGACCACCATAGAGTAGTAGCACTTTGGAGGTTCTGATAATATTTAACTCAGAGAACATGCACATTTAAAAAAAATGAAATTTGAAAGCAGAGAAAATTAGGGTGTTGTTTTTTTAGCTGAATAGAACCTTGTGAATAGATGTTCAGCCATACATTTGATAGCATACTGATGGGTAGGATGATACAGTAAGAAATGAGCATGGATACAGGATGGGTAGACTTTACCAGATGATAATGATAAAATATTTTAATTTTAGATACCTTAGGAAGAAATAGTAGTAACTGTCTAGTTTTAGAAATGTAGCTTGAGTGTGTGTGTGTGGGGGGGAGGTTGGGGGTTAATGGGGGGGATGAGGACACATTTGTAATACCTTAACTAATAATAAAAAAGAAAAAAGAAAAAAAAGAAATGTAGCTTGATAGATTAACAGTATGAGATTTTGCCTCACCTCAGTGAGAGTTCCCTTCATTAACACAAGGCTAGGGAATGACCACCACTCAGTGTCTTTTAGACCTACCTGTAAAGAATGATAGAACATGAGGTATTTTAGAGGAAGCATGAAATGTACTCCTAAACCTGTTTTTTGTTGTTGTTGTTTGTTTGTTTTTTATTTTTCTAAACCAATGTGTAGTGCACCTGGAAGTGGTCCTATGTTCAGACCAACCACAGTGGCTGTAGATGAAGAAGGTGGAGATGATGATAAAGATGAATCAGCTACAAATAGTGGCATAAGTGTCCCTGCCACTTGTGGACTAGGATCTGAATTCTCCACAGATAAAGGAGGCCCTTTCACTGCAGTACAAATCACTACTACCACTGGACTGTCACAGGCTCCTGGGTTAGTCTCCCAAGGTGTCAGCTTTGGCATTAAGAATAATCTGGGTACCCCATTGCAAAAATTGGGAGTGTCATTTTCATTTGCCAAGAAGGCTCCTGTCAAACTCGAATCAATAGCATCAGTTTTCAAGGACCACGCAGAGGAAGGAACTTCTGAAGATGGAACAAAAGCTGATGAGAAGGGGTCTGACCAAGGACTGCAGAAGGTGGGAGACTCTGATGCTAGTAGTAATCTCGATGGCAAAAAAGAGGACGAAGACCCTCAGGATGGAGGGTCCCTTGCCTCAACATTATCTAAGTTAAAAAGAATGAAGCGAGAAGAAGGAGCTGGGGCAACAGAGCCAGAGTATTACCACTACATCCCCCCAGCACATTGCAAAGTAAAACCTAATTTTCCCTTCCTCCTCTTTATGAGAGCTAGCGAACAAATGGAAGGTGGTGATAATACACACCCAAAGAATGCCCTAGAGAGCAAAAAAAGCAATTCTCCCAAGCCTAAACGCTTAAGCAAGGTGGCAGCAAGCCAAGGAGCAGAAAAGACTGTTAGTGAGTTCTCGGAGCAGCAGGCGGAAACCAGTGTGGCTGAGCCCTCAGAACCTGGAAGCAGAGCTGAAACCAAGAAGGCTTCAGGAGGGGACATAAGTGAGCAGAGTTTAGAGAGTCAGAAGTCTTCAGGTATTCAGATGTGTGAGCCTAACCCTTCTAAAGAAACCTCTCAGACCACTCCACCAGGAAAAGAAAGCCGTGAGGGACCCAAACATCCTACTGGCCCCTTCTTTCCAGTTTTGAGCAAAGATGAAAGCACTGCCCTCCAGTGGCCATCAGAACTATTAATTTTCACCAAGGCAGAACCCTCCATTTCATACAGTTGTAACCCTTTATACTTTGACTTTAAACTTTCAAGGAACAAAGATGCCAGAGCTAAAGGGACAGAAAAGCCAAAGGACATAGGAGGCTCCTCAAAGGACCATCTCCACGGCCTTGATCCTGGTGAGCCAAATAAAAGCAAGGAAGGAGGAGAGAAAGTAGAACATTCCTCAGGAGATAGAATAGATGCACCTGCTTCAGGATCTTCCTGTCGCGGCCCGAATAAGCAGGAGCCTGGTGGCAGCCATGGATCAGAAACAGAAGACACAGGGAGAAGCCTTCCTAGCAAGAAGGAACGATCTGGGAAGTCCCACCGACACAAAAAGAAAAAGAAGCACAAAAAATCCAGCAAACACAAACGGAAACACAAGGCTGACCCAGAAGACAAAAGCTCTAAGGTTGAGTCTGGGGAGAAGTCTAAGAAGCGCAAGAAACGAAAACGGAAGAAGAATAAGTCAGCCCCTGCAGATTCCGAACGGGGACCCAAACCAGAACCCCCTGGGAGTGGTAGCCCTGCTCCACCAAGAAGACGGCGGCGAGCCCAAGATGATTCCCAGCGGAGATCCCTCCCAGGTGAAGAAGGGAGCAGTGGCAAAAAGGATGAAAGTGGAGGTGGTGGCAGCTCTCAAGATCATGGTGGGAGGAAACATAAAGGTGAACCTCCAACTTCATCCTGCCAGCGAAGAGCTAGCACCAAACGGAGCAGCCGGTCCAGCCATCGGAGTCGACCCAGCAGTGGAGATGAGGATAGTGATGATGTTTCATCACGCCGGCTGCACCAGAAGTCTCCATCCCAATACAGTGAAGAGGAGGAGGAGGAGGAAGAGGAAGACTCGGGCAGTGAGCATTCCCATAGCCGCTCAAGGTCTGGCCGGCGCCATTCCTCACACCGCTCCTCCCAGCGTTCTTACTCAAGTAGCTCAGAGGCTTCTTCAGACCAGAGCTGCTATAGTAGGCAGCACAGTTATTCTGATGACAGCTATAGTGACTATAGTGACCGATCACGAAGGCACTCAAAGCGCTCCCATGACTCTGATGACTCAGACTATACCAGCTCCAAGCACCGGTCCAAACGGCACAAATATTCATCTTCCGATGACTATAGCCTCAGTTGCAGCCAGTCCCGAAGCCGGTCTCGGAGTCATACCAGAGACCGCTCAAGATCCCGGGGCCGCAGCCGCAGCAGTAGTTGCAGCCGCAGCCGGAGCAAACGGAGAAGCCGTAGTACCACAGCCCACAGCTGGCAGCGAAGCCGCAGCTATAGCCGGGACCGCAGCCGCAGCACCAGAAGCCCTTCCCAAAGATCAGGCTCTAGGAAAGGATCATGGGGTCATGAGAGCCCTGAGGAGAGGCGTTCTGGTCGTCGAGACTTCATTCGCTCCAAAATCTACCGCTCCCAGTCTCCTCATTATTTCCGATCAGGTCGGGGAGAAGGCCATGAGAAAAAGGAAGATGGCAGAGGAGATGATAGTAAAGGGACAGGCCTACCCTCCCAGAACAGCAGTGTTAGCACAGGAAGGGGATCAGAGAGTGACTGCAGCCCTGAAGATAAGAACTCTCTCACTGCCAAACTTCTACTGGAGAAGATCCAGTCAAGGAAAGTGGAGAGGAAACTCAGTGTAAGTGAGGAGGTGCTGGCCACCCCAAATAAAGCTGGGCTCAAGCTCAAGGACCCCCCACAAGGTTACTTTGGGCCCAAGCTCCCCCCCTCTCTTGGCAATAAGCCTGTCCTTCCACTGATAGGGAAACTCCCAGCTACCCGAAAGCCCAACACCAAGAAATGTGAAGAGTCTGGCTTAGAAAGAGGGGAAGAGCAAGAACAGTCAGAGACAGAAGAAGGGCCTCCAGGTAATAGTGATGCCCCATTTGGACATCAGTACCCCTCAGAGGAAACCGCTGGCCCCTTATCAGACCCACCTCCAGAAGAGCCAAAATCTGAAGAAGCTACTACTGCTAATCACCCTGTGGCTCCACTAGGCACCCCAGTGCACTCTGATTGCTTTCCTGGGGACCCAACCATCTCCCATAACTACCTCCCTGACCCGAGCGATGGGGACACCCTAGAATCCTTGGATAGTGGCAGTCAACCAGGCCCTGTGGAATCTAGCCTGCTGCCAATAGTGCCAGAACTTGAGCACTTCTCCAGTTATGCACCTCCCAGTGGGGAGCCTAGTATCGAGTCAGCTGATGGGACAGAGGATGCTTCCCTGGCCCCCCTGGAAAGCCAGCCCATCACCTTCACCCCCGAGGAGATGGAGAAGTACAGCAAACTCCAGCAGGCTGCACAGCAGCACATCCAGCAGCAGCTTCTAGCCAAGCAAGTAAAAGCCTTTCCAGCCTCTGCTGCCCTGGCCCCAGCCACTCCAGCCCTGCAGCCCATCCACATTCAGCAGCCGGCCACAGCCTCTGCCACCTCCATCACAACTGTTCAGCATGCCATCCTACAGCATCATGCTGCAGCAGCTGCTGCTGCCATTGGCATTCACCCCCACCCTCATCCCCAGCCACTTGCCCAAGTACATCATATTCCCCAGCCCCACCTGACCCCCATTTCCTTATCCCACCTCACTCACTCAATCATCCCTGGCCACCCTGCCACCTTTCTCGCTAGCCATCCCATTCACATCATTCCTGCCTCAGCCATCCATCCTGGACCCTTCACCTTCCACCCTGTCCCACATGCTGCCCTCTATCCTACCCTCCTTGCCCCACGGCCTGCTGCAGCAGCTGCCACTGCCCTCCACCTTCACCCACTTCTTCACCCCATCTTCTCAGGTCAGGACCTGCAGCACCCCCCTGGCCATGGCACATGAGTTGGGGGATGAGAGCCCAGGTAGGACCAGGGAAGGTGACCCATAAGTCTTCCCTTGGGAGTGTTGAGCCATTAATACCAGCAAGTAGAAGCTGGGATGGGCAGTGTCTGATAGCCAAAGAATTGGGTTTTGGCTTGCAGGGGTGGTTTTAGATTTGAGGTTTGCTTTGGATTCACTATCAGGGATTTCCCCCCCCCCCCCCCCTTTCCTTGTATCTCTCCCCCTCCTGTGTTTCTAGACTAGGAAACACTAGTAAGTGCTACCCACCCCTCTGTAGCAACATTTCCAGATGGTCAAGCTTATATGCTCCCCTTCTCCCTCTACTGTTTAACCTCTGCTCTTCCCTTCTATACATTTTAAAACATTTTTCTCCTCTCTGGCCGGCGGGTTGTCCATCTGATCCTGCCTTCCCAATGTCTGACCATCCCTTGGTGACCTTGTGTTCCCTGGGTGAGGTGGAAAGGGAGTCAGACCTGGAATCAGATGCTACTCTGTTTTTGGATCCACTTCCCACATAAAGAGCCACACGTTTGGCACTGATGGCCTCGTGTCCCTCATCCCAGAAGAGACATCGGACTATCCCAGAAAAGAAGATCCTATCATGATTACAAGCTATGCGGAACACAGTTTCTCATGTGCTTTCCCAGGGAGGAGCTTGTATGTCTGAAGGGTGTATTTTCTTCTGTCATGTTGATGTTTCCTTCTTAATTTATAGGATTTTTTAACGTAAAAAAATTGCACTGAACTCTGTAAACGCAAATGCTGCTTTTTGTAGCTCATAAAAAAGGTTCCATATTTGTAGTATACTGCAATAATATTTTTTACATCTAGCTCTTTAAGTGATCCTTGTTCTGGTGGCTTTGTGTAAATATGTTTGCCTAGTTGAATTAAGAAACTAAAGGTTATAAGATGAAAGCAAAAAATAAAGTATTTGTTTTCTGCTAGATGCAAAAATGACTAAGCATGTATATTTTATCAAACTCATGTATTTTTTGAAGTTATGAACTATAAAAATGTCAGAGCAAAAAAAGAACATTGTTTAACATTTTTGCTGGGACAAAATGTTCAGTAATTTGCATTAAGTGGTGCCCCCGGCACTGGGATGTTTGAACTAATGGGCATCAGTCAGCTGGGGGGTTCAGAGGAATACTCAGTTATGGTGGTCTTCTTCATATGCTTTGTTTTTGTTTTTTACAGAAAAACAGGTGGGCCCCACAGAGGAGGAAAACATTCAAGAGCTTTATTTGAAAGCAGTGAGATTCAGAGTGATTGGGGATTTCTGATGCCTTGTTCTAGGCAGTCCATTTGCCTTCCTAGTACTTAGCCTTCTCTGATAATTTTTTGTTTTTTAATGTGCCTTTTTGGTTGGCTAGAAACAAGTAGAAGTAGACTGGGGGATGGTAGAGTTCCGTTTTCTTCCTCCTCTTGTTGGGACATGAGCACATTTATAGATACTGCAAATTCTTTTGCTTCATAGTTTCCATGCCTTCAGCCCAGTTTAGCTTAAGCAGTGAAGATTCCTTTTCTCTTCTGTGACACCATGGCACCTACCAGAGGAAATACCACCTCAATTCCTCTTCCTCTTCTTGCTTTTCACCCAGGTTTTCAGACCTAATTAACACACTGACCCTAAAGTGTTTATATTGCACTTCTCACCATCTTTAGTGTAATTAGCGGATCCCTGTTTGGCATTTCCCTGCCTATTCCTGTGGCTAGAATTGGTTGGGTGGTCACCTGACACGAAAAACAAACCCTACTTACCTGGGCCAAGGCTCTGTGTTCTGCCTTTCTTCTCGAATTCCCAAATGGAAAAGGTTTTGAGTTTATGAGAAGCAAGTGCTGGACAAACAAGGCTCTTGACTGAGCCTCCTACCTGTTTAGTGCTCCTCATGTGGTTCAGAAGCATCACTTTTTTAATAACTAGCACTGGAAAAATGAAATGTCTTTGATGTGAAGGGACTCATTTTTCTTTGCTTTCATGAAGCCCGTGTAAATAATTTAAATAATACAGTATTAACATTTTTGTGCTATTTCCCTTCCCATTAGCTTGTAGATTGAGCCATACTCTGGCTGCCTCTGTCTTCCTAGGGGCAGTTTTCTTTAACTTTCAGAATAGTGATTTCAAAACTTTAAAAAACGTAAAGAAAAACAAAATAGCCTATCCTTCCTTACAAGCATAACAGATTGTATTTAACTTTATCGCATATGATAGAGATATATATGCTGTAAAATTAGGGAAAGGAACTTTCTAATAAACCAATGATTTGTGGAAACTTAGCAGAGTCTGTTGTGATTGTTGCCCCATCCATTCAAGTTGGGAAAGGGTGGAGTTAAGGGTTACAAATAACATCTTGTTTGAAGTGATCAAGGGATAGACTCTTGAGAACCAGTTTTTTATGATGTTTGGAATTGTGCTTCTCAGAGCTCAGGCTGCCCAAGTAGAGAGAAAAGATGATGATGTGGGAGGACGTATAGTAAAGTTTCTCAGTCTTTGGTAGGTGCTTTGGAATGTGCCCCTCTTTCTCACACGAATTTTCTATTTCTGCCTTACCTCTTAGGTATGTAATCTCTGTGTAATAGGGTATATGGCATGTAGGTGCTCACTAATAAGTAAGTGGGTTGGAATTTCTGAGTTTGATTTTTAAGATTTTGGATAAACTTCAGGGCAGTGGAATTGCAAGAGTCATCTGCCTGGCTTTTGCCCTCCAGAAGTAGTTCTGTATATCAGAACCAGTCTTCAATTATTCTCCTCAACCCTTTAATACCAGTACAGTACTTGAGAGCTACCTGGTGAAAGGAATAGGCCTTGTTACTGAGCTGATAAAAGCCTCTACTGTATCAAAAAATCACAAAAAGGAAAGGTCAGCATCAAAGCTAGCCACATAGATATGCAGGGATAAATTAGTTTCCTCTCTCTTCCTCAGTCTTTCAGGAAGGAGGAGTACAATGTCTATTTCTTTCCTACTCATAACAGCTGTGTTCTCCCCTTGACTGAAGAGAAGCTATTCAACATGAACCTTGGGTTGGATGCTCAGATCTGCCTATTTTCCTAAAATAGCAAAATTCCTGCCCAGAAAGAAAGGATGTTAAAAAAATGAAAAGTAATGTTCTGAGCAGGCAAGGTGCCAGTGAAAGCAGCAGACTGGCCTGTAGAGAGTGCTCTGTGCAGCTGCCTGCCTCCGCCACCTGGGCTTGCAACATGGACATGCCTCTTCTGTGCCCTCAGTGACTAATCCAGGCCTTGTCAACCATTTCCATTCTTATTTACCAGAGACACCTTCACTTCCCCATTATCAATTCGTATCTGAATGTCTGCAGCATTTCCTGGCCGACCTCCCTGACTCTTAGGATATAATTCTCTGTCCCATATAAGCTTACTGGCTTTTCAGAATCTTGAGTGCAGTTCATTTTGTGTTCACTGCTCCCCAATAAAGTTAGAAGTTCTGGGAGGACAGGGATTGATTCTTTTTTTTTTCTCTTTCTTTAATTCCTTAGAGGGTTTTACAGAGTTGAACACAAACATTTTGATTATATGTCCAAGAAAGATTTGAGCAAAGTAAAATACTACTAACTGGGGATTTTTATGCATCAGAGTTTAGAAAGGAAACCAAAGGTGATAAAATGTTTTTCTTTATACCCACTTCACCTAGCTCAGTGCCAGGCACATAGTAGAAGTTAATAATTGTGGACTCAATGAAGTCTTAGCAGAACTTTGAATTCATTGAGGGATCCTAGCACTGTTGACTGATGGGATGGAGAAGTGGGAGCAGTGTGTCAGCAGCACTCCTGCCTACTATCTCAGAAAGGAGACTAACCCAGCTCTGACCCCAGAGGAACTCCCAGAAGAACAGAATTCTTCTTGAATACCACACTCCTCTCCCTTCCCAATTCCAATGCTCCACCTGTTCCCAATTTTAGTTACTGGTACCACTGTCCTACCAGCCAACAAGGCACCAAAGCTTCAAGTTACCTGACACTTCCCCAGCACATCCAGTTACTGATTGTGTAATCTCTGCTGTCTCCCTTGTTCCTGCCATCTGTACCCGGGTTTAAGCCTCATCCATCACCTTTAAACCAAGAGGATTGCAGTTGCTCTCCATCTGATCTTCCCAGTAAGTTCTGCCTTTTCCAGTCCCTTCTATCCACAGTGTAATCGTCCAAATCGGAGCACAATTAGTATATCTCTTATTGTCTGACTTGAAAAATCTTCATGATTCTCCATCTTCAGATTAAAGTTCACATTCCTTGATAAGGCATTCAAGGACTTGGAGTTATTTGACCCCAGCCTTTCATTCCACCCTAATGCCCACTCTGTCCTCATGCTCCAGTCCACCCTATCCTAAGTCAACTACTTGCCCTTCCCTATAATTGACCTTTATGTCCTACCACTCTTAAAGAGATTCTCTGACAAGAGTGTAATGGATAAGAACATTGATTTTAGCCCTAGCCGGTTTGGCTCAGTGGATAAAGCATCGGCCTGAGGACTGAGGGTCTCCGGTTTGATTCCGGTCAAGGGCACATGCCTGTGTTGCGGGCTAGATCCCCAATAGGGGGCGTGCAGTAGGCAGCTGATCAATGATTCTCATAGATGTTTCTCCCTCTCCCTTCCTCTTTGAAATCAATAATTTTAATATATTTTTAAAAAACATGATTTTAGCCCTGGCCTATTTGGTTCAGTGGCTAGAGTGTCAGCCTGCAGACTGAAGGGTCCTGGGTTCAATTCCAGTCAAGGGCACATACCTCGGTTGCAGGCTCGATCCCCGGATCACTTTCGGGAGGCAACCAATCGATGTGTCTCACATCAATATTTCTCTCTCGCTCCCTCCCTTCCACTCTCTGAAAATCAATGGGAAAAACATTCTTGGGTGAGGATTAACCAAGAAATAAATAAAATCCTTTGGAAACAAACATGAATTTAAGCACAAACATATTTGAATCCACACATTGGCCGTGTAAACTTGGGCAATTTGCCTAAAACTCTGTGCCACAGTTTTGGCATTTATGAAATGGGCATAATAGTACCTATTTCATAGGAGTTGTTACGAGGAATATATGATATAAATGATTTCAGCTAGACATAATCACCCTTTTCAAAGCATGCTTTACTCTTCCTCTGCTGCAGTTGTGTGTTCATGTCTTAACTCCCTCTTTAAAGATCCTTGGTCAGGGACCTTTGTATCCCTTACTACTCAGTGCCTTGAACAGAATAAATACTTATTTAAAAACTTTAGTGAAATGTGACTTAATTTGGGGCTACACAGTATACACCAATAATTATAATGCCGCTCAGTTGAGGTCAGTGGGAACGTGGTAGGTAAGTATAAAACTGAGTTAAGTATTCATTCTAATAGATGCATTACATGCCTACTATGGTCCTGGGACTAAGAAATCAGTGAAGGAGGCCTGGACTAAAATTTAAGGAGCTTCTAACCTAGCAAAGGGCAGGATTTTGAGCTTTGTGCTGAGATGGTGAATTAGGAGAAGGGAGGAGCCAAAGGGTTTCCAAGATAAGATGGTTGCAATTGATCAGAAAATATAGAGCAAAAGGAGGATGTGGCCATGTTCCTGTTCCCCTGGCAGATCCTGAATTTCCTTCCTGAGAACCTGTCTTTGGGGGGAGACATGTAGTGTCAATAAGACTTGGCACTCCTCTTGCTCACATCCACAGAAAATGACCTTGCCTTTCTACTCAAAACTATTCCTTCTCTTTCCACATGTTTGCATCTTCCATGCTCAGTGCACGCTCCATTCAGTCTGCCTTTCAGTAACACCTATTACAAGTTGGGCTCTCGGCTAGGCCCCAGACTACAGTAAAGAACCTTGCTCTCCAGGGATTCATGGACACGATCCAGTGAACAGGCCATGATAAACTGTGTTAATTCCAGGGTGCCAGCCTGAAGAGTTGGAGGCGGCTTCCTGTTGGCAGTGACCCCACTAGAATCGGTTCTTGATGATTGGACAAGAGCTCTGTCACCAGAAAGAGTGGGGGGGGCCTGCTCTCTACTGAACAGCTGGTGAATAATCACAAAGCCTATGAGCCAGAATACCCTGATCTGACTCCACTTTATCCCCATCTCCCTTCTCCCTTCAACCAAGACCCATTCACCATCCCTTCCCCAGCCCTGGCTGCACTGCTTGACCACATTAAGACTTGGCCTGAGATGGAGGAAGAGTGAGGAAGCTGCTGCACCAATGTGACTGACTGAAGCTGCCCAAAGCCCTAAAAGGAAGTGGATAGGTGCCTTATCCAAGAGGGTACAGCAGCCCAGGTCTTATCAGGAGGCAGCAGCTTCCTTACTCCTTCCCCCACTGTTAACCAAGTCATTTTGTGCCACAGCAGTGCAGGCAGCTGTGTGGGAGGAAGAGGGGCCATAGAACTGGGGGCTAGAGTGGAGGTGTACAGACCAGCTAGTTCATGGTTTTACTATCCCAACCAGAAAGCCATGATGGTTAGACTTGCATGGTGGTAGTAGAAATGGCGTGAAGATTCAAGAGAGATAGTTGAGAGGCAGAACCAACAAGACTTGGTGATAAACTACTCTCAGGAAAAGGGAGGAGTCATGGCTTTCAGCCATCAGCATCCACCCCCAGGGTGGCCTCACCTCCTTCCCTTCCTGGCAATCTTAGAAACCAAATGGGTCCAGGGCCAACAGCCCTGTTTTCTGCCTACTGTTCAGTAAGTGGCTTCAGGTTTGATAAGAAAAGACTTCCTGTGGTGGAACTGAAAGGAAGAGGAAGGAGTTAGTCCATTCCTTCCAAGGAGGTTGTGGGAGAAGGAAGATGGCCAGAGCTTTGTGTCCACTTCATGCCCTCTGGCTTCTGGAGTGGGTGCAGATGCTCTTGGGACCCGGTGCTGCCCCTCCAGCCTGGGCCTTGAACCTGGACCCAGTGCGGCTCACCTTCTACACAGGCCCCAATGGCAGCCACTTTGGGTTTTCACTGGACTTCTACAAGGACAGCCATGGGAGGTAAGCCCTGGGGGAAGTTTGGGTGTTGGGAGAGAGAAAGATTCTCCCACCATTACTGCTTCTGTAGACCTCAAGTTCCCCATTTGTGATAGAGGTTGGGCAAAGTGACTTCTAGGATCTATTTGGCTGAGTGCTTGTTAGGAATATTGGGGAGGAACCTGCTCAGGCGAGGGTATCAGGAGGGGACACCAAAGAGGAGTTAGGCATTGAAACTACAGCAAAAACAAAGGCAAAACAAAAGTTGATACCTTATTTTTTTCTCCAAGGGTCACTTGTATGACCCACTCCACTGCCATCCCCTCAAAATACAGAGAGAAGTGCGAATGTCTTAAATTGACTTGCAAAACTGTAAAATGATCTACTCACCTTGCTTTTCCACTCCATTTCCCTGATCCCCATAAAAATTATAGATATTTGAGAAGAAGCAATAGAACATTAGTGCTTAGGATTAACCAGGCTGTGAGATCAGATTGCCAAGATTACAGTCCTGGTTCCTCCTCTTTATAATAACTCCGCTGAGCTAGTTCCTTCTGGTGCTACCCAGCTTTGGGGAGTGGCAATGGAAGACGCATTCAAGCATCAGCCCCCGGGTGAATTTCCTCCGCTGAAGAGAGCCACCTCCCCCAAAGTCAATCCCCTTCCCAATGTGACCTACAACTAATGACTGATCAATGAGGAATACGGAGGGAGGTGAGAGGTGTGAGGGTCCAACCAGAACTCCCAGGGTGTCTGTGTGGCCCATGGCTGTCATTGGGCTTGAATCTAACCTAACCCCTTCCCCACTTTTGCTTTTCCCCTTCTATCCACCATAGTGGTCTCATGGGCACTACTTAATGTGACCCAGTGTCCCCCAAGGCACACCCCCCTTCAGGGTAGTGCTCCCTGCGCCGCGGGCACGGGGGTACCCCAGAATCTGCTCCGTGCTCACGCATTTTTTCTATACAGCTTGGCCATCGTGGTGGGCGCCCCGCGGATCCGAGGCCGCAATCAAGAGGAGACTGGCGGCGTGTTCCTGTGCCCCTGGAGGGCCGAGGGCGGCCAGTGCTCGTCTCTGTCCTTCAACCTTAGTGAGTCCCAGGCACCGAGGGGAAGGGAGGAGCTGCGGGGAGCGCGCACAGCTGGACTTCATCGCCCCATCCCTCCTTGTGCCCTCCAGATGATGAGACCCGAACAGTAGGCTCCCAGACCTTCCAAACCTTCAAGGCCGGGCAAGGACTGGGGGCGTCGGTTGTCAGCTGGAGCGACAACATTGTGGTGGGCAACGCGGGATGGGACACCCCGAGAAGTCGGGGGCAGGGACACGTTAGGCGGGGGCAGGCCTGAGTCCGCCTCCTTCCCACTCTCCTGTGGCCCTGCCCAGGCCTGCGCCCCCTGGCAGCACTGGAACGTCGTAGATAAGACGGAGGAGGCCGAGAAGACGCCCGTGGGGGGCTGCTTCCTGGCCCAGCTGCAGAACGCGGGCCGCGCGGAGTTCTCGCCCTGTCGCGGCAACACCATGAGCCGCGTGCACAAGCAGCAGGAATTCTGTGAGCTCCGCCCAACGCCCGGCCACTGAGCCCAGCCCTTATTCCCGAACCTTCTCCCATTCTCCCAGCACCGCGGGCCTTGCTCTCCGCGGCCCGGCGCCGGGCGCCCAGCTCCCAGCAACGCCTCCCACCTCACCAGCTACCCGCAGACTCAGGGCCACGCCCCTATGTCACCCCGTGGCCCGCCCTGCCCCAGGTTCAGTGCCCGCTTTTACTTCTTTTCTTATTGATTTTAAACAAAGGGAGACAATCATGGCGTGCTGTTCCACTTATGTACGCATTCGCTGGCTGATTCTTGTATGTGCCCTGACGGGGATCCCACCGGAACCCTTGGCGAAGGGGGAGGATGTGCTAACCAACTGGGCTACCCGCTAGGGCCAGTGCAGCTTCGCCATCCGCCCGGCTGACCCCCCTCCTTGCCCCCTGCTGACCCTCCTCCTTGCCCCCTGCTGACCCCCCTCCTTGCCCCCTGCTGACCCCCCTCCTTGCCCCCTGCTGACCCTCCTCCTTGCCCCCTGCTGACCCCCCATTCTTGCCCCCGGCTGACCCCCCTCCTTGCCCCCTGCTGACCCTCCTCCTTGCCCCCGGCTGACCCCCCATTCTTGCCCCCGGCTGACCCCCCTCCTTGCCCCCGGCTGACCCCCTCCTTGCCCCCGGCTGACCCCCTCCTTGCCCCTCCAGGGGAAGACAAGCGCTACTGCGAAGCGGGCTTCAGCGCCGCTGTCACTCAGGCAAGTCGCGGGCCTGCCCTGAGGGTCGCGAGGGCGGCTCCCAAACAGGCCCCTCTCACCTCCGCCGCTTCCTTTTCAGGCTGGAGAGCTGGTGCTCGGGGCCCCTGGCGGCTTCTTTTTCTTAGGTACGTGCCCACCCGTGTCTGTGTCTCTCTCTCTCTCTCTCTCTCTCTCTCTCTCTCTCTCTCTCTCTCTCTCTCTCTCTCTCTCTCTCGGCCTGGGAAGACCCCAGAAGTTCGCATCCCCTGCCCCTCGCACCCCAGGGCTCCTGGCGCGGGCTCCGATCGCAGACATCTTCAGGAACTACCACCCGGGCACCCTCTTGTGGCACGTGGGCACCCAGCGCCTCACCTTCGACTCCAACAAACCAGAGTACTTCGACGGCTACCGGGGTAACCCTGGCCCCTCCTGGGCTGCCCGCTCCCAGGGTCTCACCGCCGCCCCGCCCCCGGGAGCGCGCCCCAGGCCCACTCCCGCCCGAGGCGTCTCCATCCTCGGCTCCCGCAGCCCCCCCCACCCCCCCACCGCCCAACTCCCACCCTCCCCCGGCCTTCCCGCTGGCCTCGGCCCCGTGGCCTCCGTGTGGCGGGTCCGTAAAGCAGCTCTGAACTGTCCACGTGCGAGTCCCCTCCGTCCGCGCCCTCCGCCCCGCCCGCTGCGCCCCCGCAGAAAACTAATGCGCGTTGTGTCTCCAGGGTACTCGGTGGCCGTCGGCGAGTTCGACGGGAACCCCAACACAACAGGCAAGGAGTCCATTTAGGGCGGGGGCTGGGGAGCCAGCCCTGGGAGGGGCACCCCCGGCCCCGCACCGAACCCCCCCCCCCCCCCGGGTGCGGAAGGATGGGCGGGAGGCAGGGCAGGGCCGGAACTCACTGGCTGGGCCCGGCTCTCCCCAGAATATGTCTTCGGTGCCCCCACCTGGAGCTGGACCCTGGGAGCCGTGAGTGCCACCTGCCCCGCCATTCGGCACCCCGAAGCCCCTGACCCTACTCCTAAAGCTGACCCCTCCCCCCCAAACCCTCTGCCCGGAGGGGAGGCTGCGGTGGTGGTGGTGGGGGGGAATGGCGCCCTCACGTGGTGGTGTGCGCAGGTGGAAATCATGCTCTCCAACTACCGGACGCTGCACCGGGTGCACGGAGAGCAGGTGGGGGCCGCTTCCTGGTGGGGGTGCCCGAGGCAGGGGCGGTGGGGCCCCAGAATGTTCCGCGGGGAGCGGGGGGCGATGACGAAGGGAGGCTGAGGGGTGTGGGGCGGGAGTTAGGGTGCGCCTGGCTTTCCTGCAGGTGGCTTCGTATTTCGGGCACTCGGTGGCCGTCACCGACGTCAACGGGGACGGGTGAGGAGGGGGGCGCCCAGCCCTACCCAGTTGAGCCCCCAGTTGCCAGAGTCGTGAGCTGCCCTCACTCCCGGCGACCCGCGAGGGGGGCGGGAGGGCGCGGATGGAGAGAGGGGGGCTCTGGCCCGCGGCAGCCCGGAGCCACCCACCCCCACGTAACCGCGCGCCTGGCCCGCAGGAGGCACGACCTGCTGGTGGGCGCGCCCCTGTACATGGACAGCCGCGCTGACCGCAAGCTGGCCGAGGTGGGGCGCGTGTACTTGTTCCTGCAGCCTCGGGGCTCCCACGCGCTGGGCACCCCCAGCCTCCTCCTGACTGGCACCCAGCTCTATGGGCGATTTGGCTCAGCCATCGCGCCTCTGGGCGACCTCAACCGGGACAACTACAATGGTAAGAGGAGAGGGGCCCCACCGCTGCCCGGGGGTAGCAGGCACAGCAAAGACCAGGGATTTGGCCTGAAGGCCGCAGGAGCCAGGAAGAGCTTTAAGCAGAGAGTTAACGCAGCCCAAGTCGGATTTGTTCGCATTATTCCAGGCAAAGGAGTTGGGGGGACGGGGAATCCTTCGCTGCGCTGCCTGGAACTCGGGCTGGGCAGCAGATCTGGGAGGTGATGTGGGAGGATGTCAGCAGCTGGTCTCTGGACCTGTTTGATCCTGAAGGACTTGCCCACATTAGGCAGACAAATCCAGAGAACAGTGAGTGTAGCTCCCCACTTCCGCCAGGGAGGTCTGAGTGGAACACAGGGGCTGGGCGGGGAGGAGGGTCCTTGGCGCCTGTGAAGTGAGGAGAGGCCCAGGACGGAGCCCTGGGGAGCAAGAGCACTTAGGGGACCCCCAGAGGAAGTGAGTCTGGAAAGGAGACAGAGCACTGTCCAGAGGGGTCGGAGAGAAGATGAGATCTGATGGCCCAGAACGCAAAGGAAGAGATTCCTCTGCGCAGAAGGAAGGAGGTCAGAGGCTGACTCAGGGCTGGGTAGGGACAGAAAGCAGAACGCCATGAGGCAACCTAAGAATGGAAATGAAGAATTGGAGGCAGCCAGTGCAAACAGCTCCTCCAACCAGTTTGTGAAAGAGGAAAAAGATGATTACTGAGAGGAGGGTCGAGCAAAGGCTATTTTAATGTCAAAGCATATGGAGTAAGGTGAATGTAAGGAAACCGATCTGTGGGGAAGAGGAGGGAAGGAAGAGCGAGCTGGAGGAGGGTCCCTTCGATGCCCGGGGGGTGCGGGTGGGATGCTAAGCCCAGCAGCAGGGTCAAGGAGGGACAACCAACCCAAGGTCAGATGGGAAAGGGGGGAGTGCGTGTGGAATTGTAGCACAGCCCTTGGGCTGCTTCACTTTATGAAGGAAGTAGTGGGCTGGGAGCTTGACAGAACAGAGAATGGTTGAAATAGGTGCTGAGCAAACCAGGAGAGAACGCTGCGCAGACCCCCACCCCCACCTTGCCTGACTGCTGGGCAGTCCCTAGTGGAGACTGTAGATCAGGAACTCATTTCCTTGTGCCCTGCTCTGGTGGGGGTCTGGCCAGGCTTGCCCCAAACTGGCGATGGGGCAAGATGGCTGAGGAAATGGTCAGGAAATAAGTGAAGAGATGAGGAAGCCAAAGGTCAGGAGAGCGTGGAGGCCCAGGGCCTGGGGACTCAACTGTGGTCAGAGCGGTTGATTTAGGTAAAGTCTGGGTAACTTGGTCAGAAAAATCAATAAAGGTTTTTAAAAGGGAAAAAATACTGCATAGAAGACAAAGCAAAGACAGTTACAACATATGGATCAAAGATCCTGAGTCCTGTCGCATGCAAAAAACACAGATTAATAAGATTATGATGAATAACAAATAAATTTTCAAGAGTGGTCTTAAAAGTTATTAGTGATGCCCCGGTCAGTGGGCTCAGCTGGTTGGAGCATCAGCTGGTGCACCCGAAGGTTGTGGGTTCAATTCCGATCAGAGCACACACCTAGGTTTTGAGTTTGACCCCCAGTCAGTTTGAATATGGGAGGCAACCCATGGATGTTTCTCTTTCACATCGATGTTTCGAGTGCCCTCTCCCCCACCCTCACCCCCGCTTCCTCCCTCTCTAAAATCAATAAGAAAAGATTTTTTAAAATATGTTTTACTGATTTTTGAGAGAGAGAGAGAAACATTGATGTAAAAAAGAAACAGTAAATGGTTGCTTTCCATGCGCAGCCTGACGGGGGATGGAACCTGAAACCTGGGTATGTGCCCTGATCAGAAATAGAGCCAGCAACCTTCTGGTGCACAGAATGACATTCAACCAACTGAGCCACACTGGACAGGGCGAAAGAAAAAAAAAGTTTAAGTTATTAGTGATGACAAGCCCACGGTGTGACTCTGGGCATGCATGGTATAAGGGCAAGCGGAATGGGGTGAAGGTCCCTAAGGAAAAAAGGAGGGGAATTTAATAGGTTTTGGTTACTGAGTCTTCTGGGACTCAGTTTTCTCACCTAAAATAGGAATAACGATGCCTCATTTTCAGTATCAAATGAAATCATGTCAATACGTTTTTCTGAATAGATAGGGCTGTTACTGTTTTTATAATAATCCTATTTGATGGGTCTCTCTCTGACCCAATTGTAAACTCCTGGAAGGCAGGGCAGCTGCCTTCTTGACCCAGATCTGTGTATTGCTCTCCTGGTCCCCTGGGGTCTGCCCCTGGAGAGACTGGAAAACAAACAGCCACTCTCTTGCTGTTGTTCCTTCCAGATGTTGCAGTGGCCGCCCCCTATGGGGGCCCCAGTGGTCGGGGCCAAGTGCAGGTGTTCCTGGGCCAGAGTGAGGGGCTCAGCTCCCGCCCCTCCCAGGTCCTGGACAGCCCCTTCTCCACGGGCTCTGGCTTCGGCTTCTCCCTGCGAGGTGCCACAGACATCGATGACAATGGATACCCAGGTGCCCTGGACTGCCCCCAGCTGAACAAAAAGGGCCCTTGAGCATTAGCTGGAGATGCTGGGAGACACAGCCAGGGGCCTGTGCCTGACCCGGCGCCCCACTGAGAGCTCTGGCCTGTCTGTGGGGCTGAGATGCCAGGGAGGGCCCGGTCAAACCTCCAATGGGGGAAGTGGTTTGGGCACCTCTGGGAAGATGGGGACGTCATGCCCTCTCTCATGACCAGTTCTGACCCCCTTCCAATATCTACAGACCTTTTGGTGGGAGCGTACGGGGCTGACAAGGTGGCTGTGTACAGGTGAGACTGACTCCGGGGATGGGCTGGGGAGGGGCCCAGGAAGGGCCACAACAGCAAGCCTGCCCCCTCCCACCAGAGCTCAGCCGGTGGTGACGGCCACTGTCCAGCTGCTGGTACAAGGTTCGCTGAATCCTGCTGTGAAGAACTGTGACCTGCCCAAGACGGAGACGCAAGTGAGCTGGTGAGCAGACGGAGGGCGTGGGCCAGGCAGGATCTGGGATCTCAGGGGCCCTAACCCCTGAGCCCCACTCACATCTTTGCAGCTTTAACATCCAGGTGTGTGTAGGAGCCACTGGACACAATGTTCCTCAGAAGCTGGGTGAGTGGCAGGGTGGGCACAGGAGGGAGGTGGCCTGGACTCCCCTGGAGGCTGGCCAGGGAGACCTTGACCCTCCCTGCTCGCCCTGTCAGGCCTAAATGCCGAGCTGCAGCTGGACCGGCAGAAGCCCCGCCAGGGCCGGAGGGTGCTCCTGCTGAACTCGCAACAGGCGAGCACCACCCTGCACCTGGACCTGGGGGGGAGGCACAGCCCCATCTGCCACACCACCACGGCCTTCCTCCGGGTACGCCGGGCTGGGGATGGGCAGGGCTGGGTGGCGAGCTTGTTCATCCAGCCCTGGGGTACGGGCCGGGCGCCGTGGGTCCGGGGGTGGTCAGTGGTAGGGAACACGGTAGCCAGAGGGCCTGATTCTTGTCCCCTCCCTAGGACGAGGCCGACTTCCGGGACAAGCTGAGCCCCATTGTGCTCAGCGTCAATGTGTCCCTGCAGCCCGAGAAGGATGGACTGGCGCCCGCTCTTGTGCTGCAGGGAGACACCCACGTCCAGGAGCAGGTGAGGGTGGGCAGGGACAGGCCGGACAGTCAAGCTTAGGGTTAGTGTCCGAGTTGTAATATGAACCCCAAACCTCGATGTCACCTCTAATCTCTAATGTCGCTCTAAACCCTAATGAAAACCCCAAAACTTCAGTGTCGCCAAGGGTTGATGTCACCTCAAACCTCTGATGGCACCACCTAAACCAGTGGTTCTCAACCTTCCTAATGCCGCGACCCTTTAATACAGTTCCTCATGTGGTGGTGACCCCCAATTTCATTGTGACAAATTGAACATAATTAAAGCATCGTGATTAATCACAAAAACAATATGTAATTACATATGTGTTTTCCGATGGTCTTAGGCAACCCCTGTGAAAGGGTCGTTCGACCCCCAAAGGGGTCACGACCCACAGGTTGAGAACCGCTGACCTAAACCATGACATTGTCCCAAACCCCAAAGCCCTGATGTCATCTCAGCACTCCTTCATTCTCAGATCTTCTAATCCCCTAACTTCACTTGCCCCCACCTTACCCACACACCCCGATGTGCCTGCCCCCTGTAGACCCGCATCATCCTGGACTGCGGGGAAGATGACCTGTGTGTGCCCCAGCTTCAGCTCACCGCCAACGTGTGAGGAGACCTCCCACTCTCCCCTCCCCTGGCCCGCTCACCGATGACACCTCCTCCCCACCTGGGGTGTCATACACCAACACGCTGTCCTCACCCCCTCCTCCCAGACCCTGGGCCTGGGCACAGCCTCTTACCCCTTTCTCCCCACAGGACGACGGGTGCCCCGCTCCTCATTGGAGCCGATAACGTGTTGGAGCTAAAGATAGATGCAGCCAATGACGGGGAGGGGGCCTATGAGGCTGAGCTGGCCGTGCACCTGCCCCAAGGTGCCCACTACATGCGGGCCGTCAGCAACGTCCAGGTGAGGCCCCCACCCCGGGGGATTCCTCGGACCTGAGAGGTGTAGGCCTTCTCCCACCTGAGAGCCCCACTTCTCATGCTTTGTGTAAGAGCTGTGATCTTTTATTTTTTTACTTGGAAGAGGAGTACTTGCTAATGGTCCAAAATTCAAGAACTTGATTGTAAAACCCAAGTCAAAATGGCTCAGGAAGCCCTGTACAGTGTGGCTCCGTTGGTTGGAGCATCGCCCTGTACACCAAAAGGTTGTGGGCTCCATATCCCGTCAGGGCACATACCTAGGTTGCATGTATGGAAGGCAACCAATCGATGTCTTTCTCTCTCTCTCTCTCTCTCTCTCTCTCTCTCTCTCTCTCTCTCTCTCTCTCTCTTTCTCCCTCTCCCTCTCCCTCTCCCTCTCCCTCTCCCTCTCCCTCTCCCTCTCCCTCTCCCTCTCCCTCTCCCTCTCCCTCTCCCTCTCCCTCTCCCTCTCCCTCTCTCTCCCCGTCTTTAAAATACATTATGTATGTCCTCCAGTGAGGATTCAGAAACAAAAAAAGGCTCAAGAACTAAATATTAACAGGAACCTCTGTTAACATTTGGTCGATCTTCTTCTAGTCTTTTTTCTCAACATCGACAGACATACATTTATTTGTTTGTTTGTTTTAGAGAGGGAGAGAGAAACATCAATTTGTTGTTCCACTTTTTTATGCATTCATTGGTAGATTCTTTAAAAAAAGGAAATATCTTTTTTATTATTTTTTTATTATTATTGGTTTCAGAGAGGAAGAGGGAGAGATGGAAACATCAATGATGAGAATCAATTGGCTGCCTCCTGCACACCCCCTACTGGGGATCAAGCCTACAACCCGGGCATGTGCCCTTGACCTGAAGTAAACCCAGGACCCTTTAGTCTGCAGGCTGACACTCCATCCGCTGAGCAAAACCAGCTAGGGCCATTGGTTGATTCTTGTATGTGCCCTGGCCAAGGATCAAACCTGAAACCTTGGTGTATCATAAGGACACTCTAACCAACTGAGCTACTTGGCCAGAGCCACATATTTCTTTTATTTTGTCGGGTAGTTTATAACAATGGGATCATAGTCTATGTAATGTTTTACATTATGATAAAGTGCTAGAGTGATACATAAAGTAGAATGTCACAGTCCCTTGTGTTCCCACCCCTAGAAGCCCTCCTCCCACCCTGGCACAGAAGTCTTTCCCAGGCTTTCCAAGGAGTTTCCATATGTATGGGCTGCTCTGTAACCATCCTCTTTCTTGAAACTACCTCCTGAAAGGGCTTTGAGAGGCTGGTCTGTAACCAGAAGAAGGAGAACGAGACCAAGGTGGTGCTGTGTGAGCTGGGCAACCCCATGAAGAGAAATGTCCGGGTGAGGCCGCTGAGTCTTGGGTGCTGGGTCTCCTCCACCAGGGCCTCAAAGGCAGCTGGGTTTTAGTGGCTGGGTTTGGAGTCAGCCCGGGGCCGGAATCCTGGTCCTCCCACTCCCTAGCTGTGCGATCTTGGATGAGTGGGCTTCTGAGTAAGACAGAGTTAATAATGGTGACCGTGGAGATGAGGCCTGGAGGCCACATGCAGTGTTCAGAGTGGGCATCTGTGCAGTGACTTTGGCCCTTCCGGTCTCTCAGGCAGGAATCACCATGTTGGTGAGTGTGGAGAACCTGGAAGAGGCTGGGAAGCAAGTGTCCTTCCGGCTGCAGATCAGGAGGTACTGGACTGGGGAGCACCTGATGCGGAGACACGCAGGTGACCTCCTTGCAGAAGGGTCTCCTGGGATGCTGGCTCTTCAGGCTTCCCTGTCCCCTTTCCTCCTCAGAGACTTGTTTCTGAGTCTTGGAGCCCAAAGAGAAGTTTTTTCCTAGGTTAACCTTGGTGTGGGTGGCAAAAAAGAAAGAAAGAAAGGAAGGAAGGAAGGAAGGAAGGAAGGAAGGAAGGAAGGAAGGAAGGAAGGAAGGAAGGAAGGAAGAAAAAGAGTCAGGTCTTCCTGAGCCTCTGAAATCCGGGCCCCGCCCCCAGAGAGCTCTGATGTCCACTGGGCTGCTGTCCCTGACCTGCTCCTCCTCATCCCCTCCCCTCCAGCAAGAACAGCCAGAATCCAAACAGTGAGGAGGTGGTGCTGGATGTGCCAGTCCGTGCGGAGGCCCATGTGGAGCTTCGAGGGTGAGAGGCCGGGGAAGGATAAGGGAGACGGCAGGCCGAGTCCTAAGGCTTGAGGGGTCCTGGGGGGGACTCCCACAGCAAGTTGGGGTCAAGCTTATGTTGGGAGCTTGGGCCCCTGCAGGAGCTCCTTTCCAGCCTTCCTGGTGGTGGCGGCGGAAGAAGGCAACAGGGAGAACATCTCAGACACCTGGGGCCCCAAAGTGGAGCACACCTATGAGGTAGGGAGGAGCCCTGGGCCCAGGCTGGGGTGGGAGGGTCCCAGGAACTACAGTCCAGGCGCTGAGCCACCTAATACTCTGCCACCCTCACCAGCTCCACAACAACGGCCCTAGCACTGTCAGCGGCCTCCACCTCAGCATCCACCTCCCTGGCCAGTCCCAGTCCTCTGACCTGCTCTACATCCTGGATATACAGCTTCAGGGGGGGCTTCAGTGCTCCCCACAGCCCTCCCCCAACCCCCTCAAGGTGAGAGCCTGGGTGGAAGAAGGAGCTGCGGGGGAGTCCCAGCCCATCAGCCAGGGCTCCTCCGGGAGCGCAGGGCGACGGGCAGAGTGTGGGGTCTGACAGCTGCCTTGCCTCCCCAGCTGGACTTGGGGGTGCCCACCCCAATTCCTTCCCCCGCTTCCCGGGGCCACCACAAGCGGGATCGCAGGCAGGCGTTCCTGTCAGGGTCCAAGCAGCCATCGAGGCTTCAGGATCCAGTTCTTGTGGTGAGCAGGCTCTGTGGTCTCCAAATGGGGTCTCTTCTCCCTGGAGCCCAGGGGCAGGGGGGTGGGAGGCAGAGGGGCCGAGAGTGGCGTGGGCCTCAGGGTGGCCGCCTCAGTCCGTTTGTGCTCGTCTGTCTAGGGCAGGGCGGGGGCGGGGGGCACTTGCATTTTTTTAAGATTCCCAGGACATTGAAACGAATGAATACAGGCCAGAGCAGGGTGCCAGCATTCTGGGTATTGAATACTGTCTGATGGCCCGCTTTTCCCGCCCGCTCCCTGGATCCCCGGGACTGTGTGAACAACTCCATCTAGAGCAGTGGTTCTCAACCTTCCTAAGGCCGTGACCCTTTAATACGATTCCTCATGTTGTGGTGACCCCCAACCATAAAATTATTTTCGTTGCTACGTCATCACTGTAATTTTGCTACTGTTATGAGTCATCATGTAAATATCTGATATGCAGGATGTATTTTCATTGTTACAAATCGAACATAATTAAAGCATAGTGATTAATCACAAAAACAATATGTAATTGTAGATGTGTTTTCCGATGGTCTTAGGCGACCCCTGTGAAAGGGTTGTTCGACCCCCAAAGGGGTCGCGACCCACAGGGTGAGAACCGCTGATCTAGAGAGACCGTCTGAAAGTTGGACCTGGGGCCCTTCCTGAGGCCCAGGCTCCCTGACTGCCCCTCCCACACACGCACCGCCCCCCTCCCTCCGTGCTGGGCCCCTGGGATGAGGGGGTGCGGTCAGGAGGGGCTGGGACTCATTGCACATCCCCTCAGAGCTGCGACTCGGCGCCCTGTACTGTGGTGCAGTGCGAGCTGCAGGAGATGGAGCGCGGGCAGCGGGCCATGGTCACGGTGCACGCCTTGCTGTGGCTGCCCAGCCTCCGCCAGGTGGGCATGACGTCAGCGGCGGGCCCTCTGGGGGCGGGGCTGAGTGAGCTTTGGGGAGAGGCGGGGCTTTGGGGAGCGGGCAGAGAGTGAAGACCAGGTTTACTTTGTTTTCTTTTTTTAAAATTAATTGTTTATTTGGGGGGGGGGGCTACTTTGAAGGGGTTGAGATTAGGGCAGGGGCACGCTCCCCCAGGAGGGAGACGGTCAGGCGCTGGGACTCCTGCAACCAATAGGCCTGTGTGAACGGCTTCCCCCATCCCCTCCAGAGGCCCCTGGATCAATTTGTGCTGCAGTCGCAGGCTTGGTTCAATGTCTCCTCCCTTCCCTACACCGTGCCCGCCCTCAGCCTGCCCAGTGGAGAAGCTCTGGTGAGTATGGGAGAATGTTGTCAAGGAGATGGGCAGCCCCTGTGTCCTGTGGGGCAGGATGAGGGCGGGGCCTCCCTGGGCCTGAAGGGTGGGACTGGCAGATGGCTGGGCTAGGTGTCGCCACCCCACGGGTCTGAGGTTTGGAAAAGCCAGGTGTCAAGGTGACTGAGGACAGGCCCCGGTGTGTCCCAGGTCCAGACGCAGCTGCTTCGGGCCTTGGAGGAGCGGGACGTCCCCATCTGGTGGGTGCTGGTGGGCGTGCTGAGTGGCCTGCTGTTGCTCACACTCCTGGTCCTGGCCATGTGGAAGGTGAGGCGTGAAGGGAGGGGAGGGTCCCTAGTGGGCAGTGACTTGGCCCTGCCCACCCTCACAGGGAGGCAGAGAGAGGCAGTGGTCCAAGTGGTGACCCAGCGCCCAACTGATATACATCTCCATTATTATTTTTTAAATGTATTTTTATTGATTTCAGAGAGGAAGGGGCAGGGGAGAGAGAGATAGAAACATCAATGATGAACCCTAACTGGTTTGGCTCAATGGATAGAGCCTTGGCCTGCGGACTGAAGGGTCCTAGGTTCGATTCCAGTCAAGGGCATGTACCTTGGTTGCAGGCACATCCCCAGTAGAAGGTGTGCAAGACACAGCTGATCAATGTTTCTAACTCTCTAGCCCTCTCCCTTCCTTTCTGTAAAAAATCAATAATATATATATTTTTAAAAAGAAACATCAATGATGAGAGAGAATCATTGATCAGCTGCCTCCTGCATGCCCCCTACTGGGGATTGAACCCACAATACGGGCTTGTGTCCTTGACCGGAATCAAATCCTGGACCCTTCAGTCCGCAGGCCGACGCTCTACCCACTGAGCCAAACCGGCCAGGGCTACATCTCCATTATCAGACTGTCGTTCTCCAGGGGACCTCTTCCCGGGACAGACTCCTGGAGGAGGTGGCTCCTGGGATGCTAAGTCCTTTAGACCCGTTCACCCCTGAGAGGAAGTCACGGGGAGTGAGTCCTGCCTCCAGGAACTCCCCGGCTGCTGTGGAGGACGGGTTCACCTCCTCCCTGCCCCTTGTCAGGTCCGATCCAGACCCTGCTCCCTGCTCCGTATGAGGCCCTGGTGGGCCCCTCTCTCCTCTGTGCCTGGAGAACAAGTGGGCTGGTCTCAAGCTCACTCAGGTGCCAAGCCCTGGGAAACGTGGTGCTTTGGGGGAAAACCACACTTTAGACTTACAATAAATTAAATATATCATCATCATGCACCTGAGTCATATAGAGACACAGTCACCAGTATTTAAGAAAAATTCAGGGAAGAAAAAGCAAAACATATTTTTCAATTGTTACATGTATTATCCCTAAATGGGGAAAGGCCTTCATTTGTGCAAACAGTGGGGTCCATATTTTGTGCTGGTCCAGGAGAGGACCTCATGGCTGGCTGGTTTCTAGCGTAATTGCTTCTTCCAGTGCTGCTCTGGGGCCTAAGGATCATCTTTATAACCTGGCCCTGTGCACCCCCAGGTTGGCTTCTTCAAGCGGAATCGGCCTCCCCTGGAGGAAGATGATGAAGAGGAGGAGTGACAGTGCAGCCCAGGCTCTATCCTACAGGAAGGCTGGGCGTGATCCCCGCTCTGCCCCTTCTTCTCCGAGTGCCCCCCAACTCTGCTCACCCCCAGGTTGGAGCTGTTCCATGGAGGCCTCCTGATGTCTTCTCCCTCCCATCAGAGCTGGGCCACCCCCTTTCTTGCTGCCTGATAAAGAGGCTGAGCCCCAACTCAGTGTGCTGCTTCCTCTTGGGGTCAGGGGAGGAGAGGGAGGTGATATTTGGAGTGGGGATCTGGGGCTGCTAGAAATATGAGCAGACAGCATCTGTCAAGGCAGAGGTTGCAAATTACTGTCTTTGAGGAGTGTCAGGGAGTAGAAAGTGGGGGTGGAACAAGGGAGAAAGGGTGGCAGAGCCTCCGGGTGAGGCGGGAGGGGGGTGGAGGTGTTTGAGAATGGCTGGGAGGATGGCAAAGTCGGCAGGCAGGGTCCCTGATGGGCAGCTTTAAACACTTCTTTAATGATTTTGAAGAGATAAACACCAAGAAAAGAACATGTTCTCCTTCACTCTCATTTTTTAAAAAGGCCTTTAAAGCTGTGTTCAGAGTGAGAAGGGGCAGAGAGGGAAGCTGACTGAGCCCTCATCCTGAGGAAGGCAGTGTGAGGGAGGTGTACTATTCCTTCTTCCCCACCAAGGAGAAGGGTCTTAAGTTAGGAAATAGGCACCAGGCAGGAAGGCCCCAGGAGGGAGACACTGAGGTCAGAGTCGGGAAGTAGTGGTCGGGGATCCACCAGGAGTCCTGAGGGATTTGTGGATTCATGTTCAATAAACATTTATTGAGCACCTACTATGTGCCTGGCACCATTCCAGTGCTGGGATGGAACAGGGAACAACAAAAAAGTCCCTGCCTTCATGGAACTTCCATCCAATCAGGGGCAAAGGGAAATAAATCCTATATACTAAAAACTGCAAATTGTCCCCATAACTGGGAGTTCGACCAGGGGGCAGGGCCGGCTGGCCAACCGCCCACAGCTCCTCTCCCTGGCCAGCAGCTGGCAGCCCCTAGGGACCCTCTCTGTGCACGAATTTCATGCACTGGGCCTCTAATAAATCCTATATAATAAAAGGCTAATATGCAAATCGACCGAATGGCAGAATGAGCCGTTGCTATGACATGCACTGACCACCAGGGGGCAGATGCTCAATGCAGGAGCTGCCCCCTGGTGGTCAATGCACTCCTACAGGGGGAGCGCTGTTGAGCCAGAATCTGGTCTCATGGCTGGTGAGTTCAATGGTGGTGGTGGGGGCCTCTCCCACCTCCACTGCAGTGCTAAGGATGTCCAACTGAAGGCTTAGGCCCGCTCCCCTAAGCTGGTAGTCGGACATCCCCCAAGGGCTCCTGGACTGCAAGAGGGTGCAGGCCAGGCTGAGGGACCCCCCCTCAAGTGCACAAATTTTGTGCACCAGGCCTCTAGTAAATAAATAAATAGTCAGTGGTGGTTAGTGATAGGAATAAAAATAAAGATAGGGCGCTATGGTAGAATTATGTGGGTGTTGGGAGCAGGCTGACTTTACAGGGAGAGTGGTCGGGAAAGGCCCCTCTCATGAGGTGAGCAGAGCAATGAATGAATGAGCCTAGCGGCTGCAGGGAAATAAAGTGCTCTGGACAGAAAGAGCAGCCAGTGAAAAGGCCCTGAAGTGGGAGCAGGCTTGACGTGTTCAAGGAAAGGCAAGGAGGCCCCTGGGCTGGAGGCAGGTGAGGGATCCAGGAGGTGAGGTCAGTGGTGGGGGCAGGCGGGAAGCACCTGTGACCAAGGAGAGAACTTTGGACTTGATGCTAAGTGTTGGGGGAAGCCTTTAACGGACAGACTTACCTCACAAGAGCCGCTCCCAAAGGGGAAAAGGTAGGTTCTGAACAGACCAGAACAATTTGACATCCATGCATGGCAAGTTCCAGAACAGGCTTCTAGTTGGGAGGCTGAATATTTAGGAAAAGATTGAGCCAAGGCCCTTGAACACCAGCCAAGTTCCCAGTCCCTCTGCCATTGCAACTGGATGGCCCCAGACGATCTATCTCGATCCAGCAACGCATTTCGCATTTGCCTTTACGTGCACAAGACAGACATGTGAGCTGGACGATGGAGACTTGGATTGAAAACGGAACAATGTTGATGAAGCTGAAGCATGTCTCTGTGGGGGTGTCCCAGAGCTCCATCCCAGCCCTGGTACTGTCACGAGGCCCTTCACCCTGCAGATGGCGGCGGGCTGAGCGGGAGCTCCACACGCTGGGTGACTGGCGCACATTCAGGCAGCCCTGACAGATTGTGAAGTTGGGTTGTAACCAACAAGATGAAAGTCACTAGGGATGAGTGCTAGATCCTGTGCTGAGGTTCCAACAATTTGGTTACATAAGAATGGGAACTGGGAAATCTGGTTAGATGGAAATTTACGAGAGCGGGGAAGGGAAAGGAAAGAAGGGAAGGGAAGGGAGGGAGGGAGGGAGGGAGGGAAGAAGGAAGGAAGGAAGGAAGGAAGGAAGGAAGGAAGGAAGGAAGGAAGGAAGGAAGGAAGGAAAAGAAAAAGAAAATATGGTGGTTTTGTCCACAGTCTCAAAACAAGGTCCCCTAATTTCAGAATTCCCAACCAGGAGAGAAGCCCATGTTCCGGAGGTCCTTGCTCTAGGTCTCCAGTCCCCTGCAGGGCAGCACATTTTGAGAAAGAAAAGGTAACAAGCCAGAGAGAACAGGGAGAGAGATGCCAGATCAGATGAGGATTTGGCCACCCAGAAACTGAGTGATGACCATCAGAAACTGGAAGGAAAGAGAGTGTGGCTGGGGCTAGAGGGCCGGCCAAGTTGGGGTTCAATGGCTGAGGAAGAAGGAAAAGACTCAGATTGTCATCCATGAAGCAGAACCAGTGAGACCAGCCGGAGATTCTCAGTGCACAGGCAGGCTGTGCCACCTCTAGAACTTCCTAACGGTTATGATAGCCCATCAGTAGATCGTGTTATCTGGGCCAACAGCAGCACCTGGTCAGACATGTGCTAGACCCTGTGCATCATCCCATGTAATCTTTATAGCAACCCCACGAGGCAGAGACTACAATTCTCACTTCAGAGGAAGGCTGAGTAACTCGCTAACGGCTTACTAAGAGGCAAGAGCTAGACAAGACCGGGACTGATTCCCGGGGGCTGCGCCCTATCTCCCCTGCACTGAGGGGATGTTTGTGCGAGAGAGGGGAGCAGTAAAACAGGGCAGTTCTTACACTTTGTGGAGACGCTCATGACCATGGCTCTAGGCACCCAGCCCCCGTCTAGGCCCAGGGTGGCAGCCGAAGCCTGAGCCCCCACCCAGCCGGGGTCTGGAGCGAGGAACCCGCAGGGGGCTGCGGAGCGGCCATCACCTATTTGAGTACCCACCTATTTGAGTGTGTTGCAAGCAACAGCCATCACACACACACACCAAAAAAATATGCACCAAATTTCGGGAACCCTGGAACTTCAAGCACCCAGGCGATTGGACCCCATTCGGTACACTCCCTTGCAGCTCTGGGTCTGGAGCACAGGATGGTGGCTGCGGGGTGGGCTGAGCTCAGGCAGGAGGCGGGCGGGGCGGGGCGGCGAGGGGGCGGGGCCGGGAGGACCAGCGGGTGGGGCGCCGCCGGCAGGGGGCGCTGGCGGCGGCTCCGGGCGGAGACAATCGCGCTGAGCGGCCGCCGCAGCCAGAGCGGGAGCCCGAGCCGCGCGGAGCTGGGGCTGAGCGGGGCCGGCCGAGCGGGGCCGGGCGGGAGCCATGGGCCGCTAGGGCCGGGCCGAGCCCCGCGATGCCGCCGCCGAGTGGCCCCAGCGTCCTCACGCGGCTCCTACCGCTGCTGGGGCTGCTGCTCGGCGGCGCCTCCCGCGCTCCGGGCAAGTCGCCGCCGGAGCCCCCCAGCCCGCAGGGTGAGTCTCGCCGGGAAGGGCAGCGATCGCCAGCCTGCGCCCCCACCCCCAGGGGCCCCGCCCGCAGCCCCCTCTCGGCGGCGCTCGAGAATGGGGGGCTGTTCCGTGCCCTGGATTGGGGTGGGGTAGATGGGCGACCTGGGTTCGGAGCTGGCGGGGGCGAGGGGGACCTCCGGGGAGGGGGTCTCGGGGAGACACAATGGGGAGGGCGGGGGTCCCCGGGCTCTGCGCCGCCGCCCACCTCCTGCCTTGTTTTTCTCCCTCCTGGTCCGCGAGGCGCTGCTGCCTGAGCCATTGTCTGCCGAAGACACCCGCCCAGGGGCGGGCTGGGGCGGGCGCCCGCTCCGCAGCCCCCTGCGGGTTCTCGCTCCAGACCCCGGCGGGGTGGGGGCTCAGGCTTCGGCTGCCACCCTGGGCCTAGACGGGGGCTGGGCGCCTAGAGCCAGGTTTGACGGGGGTGTAGGGAGGGGGAAAAGGGGTGAGGCTAAGGGTGGATTGACTGTTCGAATGGGGTTCTTCGCCTAGAGCCTGACAGCCCCCCAGGTTTAGATTTGGGGGTGCACCAAAGAAACGCTGCTTAGCCCATGAAAGAGAAGGGGCTGAAGTTGGGGGGCTCTGAAAAAAGGGGTACATGGTGATTCCTAGCTCCAAGCGCATGGCAGGGCTGTGGTGGCCGAGCCTGCTGAGCTGGCTAGCTGACTGTGGGCAGTGCCGGCTGGGAGGGCAGGTGCCGGGTCCCGGCCATTCCTGTCCCCAGTCCGAGCCCCATCACCCCTCCTCATCTCACCTCTCCATCCCTCTCCGGGCCCAGGTGGGTGTGTGAGGTGGGGGTGGGGTCGGCTTCTGCAGCGGAGAGGGTGGGAGAGCTAGAGGATTACTTCCTCCCCTGCTTGGGCTCTCCGGGTACTCCACCCACTCCAGCCCTGCACCCCCACCTAGCCTCCTGCCCCACCACCCCGCCACTGCCCTCCCCTCTCCTGCCTCTGGGCCCCATCCCTGTCTGAACCTGAACTGGTGCTCTCCACTCCTCACTTCCCCACCAAGGAGCTGGCAGGAAAAGCAGGGTGGGGGAGTCTCCATGAGGGAAGTGGGGTCCGGATGAAGGGAGGGGGTCGGATTTCCTCCTGGAATGAGGCAGGGCCGAAGCCAGGAGAAACGGATACCGTATGGAATGTCAGGCATTGAGGAATGGGGAAGGTTCTCCTCTGGCCTCAGTCTTCCTGGGAGACAAGAAGAGCTTTGATGGCTGGGAATGGGTCCCATTTTCTCCGAAAGCTTTTCTCCAGCCCTGTACCCCAGGGGAGGGGCCCAGGGAATGGTCTGGAATAGAGCCAGGAACAGGGTTCTCCCAGAATGCTGTCTGGAAGCCCAGCTGATGGGTAAGGGGAAGGAAATCCACCAGGCACCCCCTCAGCCCCCAGTTTGGCGCTGGTGCCTTCTTCAGGCCTTACCTACCCACCCGTTTTGTTCCCTGGGCTCTCTCCCCTTTTCTTGAACCCAAGGCATTCTGTCAAATGACCATAGTCCCTAATCCTGGGTTCCCTTTTCCCAGCTGCTCTGTCCAGCTGCTCCTAGCCTGGGGTGGGGGTAGGGAGTAGCCAGGCCCTCTAGCTTCTCAGAATTCCGACTCGGAGGTGGAGGGGGGCTGCCAGTTCCCAGGGGAACCAGAAAGGAAAGGGTCGGGTGTGTGCACCCACCCTGCAGAAGTGGGCTTTGGCCGGGAGAGGACAGGGTGGTGGGTTCAGAGCAGCTGGATGGGATGCCAGGGGCAGGCGCGGCACTGGCCCTGGGGTTGGAAGCCTGAGATACGACACCTGTCACTGTTGAGCATTAAGCTCCACCCATGAGGCCCCTGGACCTTCCCGTGCCCTGTGGCCCTCAGCCTCCCTTTGTACCTGGACTCCCCTAGTTTTGTGTCCAGCACCCAACCCACTCCCACCTGCCTCCTGGGGCTCATACTTGGGTCTCTGTACCTTTCCAAGCATGACACCTTCTCCCATTGTGAGCAGCAAGGTAGGGGTGAGGCATGCTCTTGAGGAAGGGGCTGCACTGAGTGAGAAGGGGTCGATGGTGCGCTGGATCAGAGAGGCTGCCTGGAAAACCCGTGAGAGCAAGTCTAGGCCTGGTTCCTCCCCCCATCACCCCATCTGAGAGCAGGAGGCCTGCAGGGCCATGGCAGCGAGACCGTCCATGGGCGAGGGGCAGAGTTGGCTGGAGAGCGAAGGACTTGGGCTTCCCTTCCCAGCCCCCTCCATACCGGCTTCCCTTGGGCCTGGGTCTCCCCTCCCCTCCCCTCCCCCCAGGCTCTTTCCCTGGCCAGGGCCCCAGCTCCCTGCCCATCTTCTGGGAGGAATGAAGGAGTTACCGTGGTGACTGCCTGTAGCTGACCAGCTGGGAGGGGGCCAGCAGTACACTGAGGAGGAGGGGTCAGGAGGTGCTTGTCTGGGTTTCGGTTGGAGTGAGTCCCTAAATCTGAAGAGAAACAGGTTTGTGCAAAGCGTCCTAGGAGGTGGATGAATGATGGGAATGACCAGTTCCCTGGAGTCCGCTTCTCCGTTTCTTCCCAAGAACCCGAACCCTGACCCAGCACCCCATCCCCTCTTCCAAATGGCTGAATCCTGACCGCTCTCCTCTCCACTTGTCGCCTCTGGTTCTCTACTTATTCATTCTTTCTCAGCCCCCCTTCCCTCTCCTCTCCCTGACACCAGCCCTAGGGTCCGGCGGTTAAGAATTTAGGTCTAGAAGTCAATACCCAGGTTTGGACCTCCCACTTAACTGTAGTACAAATATATAAACTCTTGGAGCCTCAGTTTCTTTATCTGCAAAATGGGCTAAGAGCATGTCTTACCGAGTCTAATACATCATTGACTGGAAGATGCACCATTATTGCATGTACCAGTAAGAAAGGGAAAAAATGCTGCCAATTATAATTATGACAACATCAACCATAGGCATAGTCTGAATTCAGAAATGTTAAAATGTGGACAAGTGCGTCTGTTAGACTCGATGAAATAGTGCCAACTACCTCACAGGCTGATGTGACGTTTGAGGGCTCTGTAAATGCTAGCTTTTATAATGTCTTATCTAGCCTTGCTCCCAACCCACAGCCCCCTCTTCTGATCTTGAGGCGCCCCCCCCCCCGCCCGCCCCCCCCTTCTCTCTCCCTCCCTTCCTCCTCCTCCTCCTCACTCTCCTCACCTCATCTTGTCCACAGAGGTCCTGATCAAGGTCCAGGTGTATGTGAGCGGGGAGCTGGCGCCTTTGGCCCAGGCCTCAGTGGATGTGTTTGGGAATCGTATGCTGCTGGCTGCTGGCACCACGGACTCAGAGGGCGTGGCCACACTGCCCCTCAGTTACCGCTTGGGCACCTGGGTGCTGGTCACTGCTGCCCGCCCTGGCTTCCTCACCAACTCCGTGCCCTGGCGCGTTGACAAGCTGCCCTGTGAGTGCAGGGGCAGGTGGAGGGGGGACAGCAGCTGACCCCATCAACCCCTTCCCAAAATAGTCCTTGGGGGCGGAGGGGGTAGGCTTTCCAGCAGCTGCTGCCTGGCCTGGGGTATGCAGAGGGGGCTGAGGGAGGATGAAGTCACTAGGATTCGGATGGAGGGAGTACCCTGCCTGGGTGTGGGCAGGGGCTTTCTCTGGAGCTAACAGGCCACCCCTCCTGCAGTGTATGCGTCAGTCAGCCTCTACCTGCTCCCCGAGCGGCCGGCCACCCTCATCCTCTATGAGGACCTGGTGCACATCCTCTTGGGTTCTCCTGGTAAGCCTCCCTCCTACCCACCCCCAAGCTCCTCTTCCGGCCCCCTGACCTGAGACTAGAGAGCCCTGCTCTTCCATACTAGCTGGGTGCCCTTGGGCAAGTCACTTAACCTCTGAACCTCAGTGTTTTCATCTATTAAGATGTGGGTATTGATAGCATCTGCATCATCAAGGACTGAATATTATCAAGGATGCAAAAAACAGCACAGAAGGTGGCCAATAAATGTTCGCTGTTACTGGGGCTTCTCGTGGTTTCTATTCTCCCTCTACTACCAATAGCATTCCCACTCCCTGCCACCTGTGTCTTCAGCGGGTCACCGAGTCCTTGCTGTGCACCTACTGGGTGCGTGGCCATGTCAGAAGACCATGAGAGGGTCGTTCCAGGGTACTGACCACCGGTGGAGTGCAAGGCCTGGAGCAGTCCTGCAGTGGCCCTCGTGTCATTCAGCTAAGACTGACGGCGGCACCTGGGCTGGGCCAGGCCCTGTGTCTGGTGCCGGGGAGCCGTGGGAAGGAAGAACAAACCCATTCCCTGCCTCGTGGAGTTCACAGACAAGTAGGAAAACACGCAGACAGGTTGTCCCCGGAATAATTACAGAGCAGGCAGGACAGTGGAGGAGAGGGTGGCTGCATTCAATATGGAGAACACCCTAACCTGTGAGTGTGCCAGGAGGAGAGCATGTAGTGAAGGGAGCTGTGGGATTGAGTGGACTTGGGAATGGAAGAGGGAGCAAAGGCATCTTCACTAGAAAGGAAGGCCTGGGGGAATCTTCCAGATGCAGGGGCAGAAGGGAGAGGGATTGTGGTTGAGCATCGACCTAGGAACCGGGAGGTCATGGTTGGATTCCCGGTCAGGGCACATGCCCAGGTTGCCGGCTGGATCCCTGGTGAGGAGCATGCAGGAGGCAGCCGTCAATGATTCTCTCTCATCATTGATGTTTCTCTCTCTCTCTTGCTTCCTCTCTGAAATCAATAAAAATATAATTTTTTAAAAAAGAAGGGGGTGCTCTGGTCTGGCTATGCAGAAGGGGCACCTAGAGCAGACTGGTTGATGAAGCCTGGCAGAGGGGAGGCTCCATCTAGCTAGCACTAGGGAGCCACACTGGGTTGTGGAGTGAGAGAAGCCCCTCCTCAGTTTATATCCTTATCCCCCAAATTACTCATTTGTTCATCATCGTTTCTCTGATCCTGAACCAGAGGCTTCTAAAATTTCTTTGGAGGTTTCTTTTTAAAAATGTCTTTCTTTTATTGACTTCAGAGAGGAAGGAAGAGGGGAAAGAGAGAGAGAAACATCAATGATGAGAGAGAATCTTTGATCGGCTACCTCCTACACGCCCCACACTGGGGATCAAGCCCGCAACCCAGGCATATGCCTTGACCGGGAATCAAACCATGACCTCCTGGTCCATAGGGTCAACATTCAACCACTGAGCCACCCCGGCCGGGCTGGAAGTTTCTAAAATGCCAAAGGAGCCCAGCCGGTGTGGCTCAGTGGTTAAGTGTCCACCCAGGAACCAAGTGGTCATGGTTCGATTCCTGGTCAGGGCACAAGCCCTCGTTCTGGGGGCTCAATCCCCAGTAGGGGGCATGCAGGAGACAGCTGATCAATGTTGATATTTCTCACGGATGTTTCTCTCTCATCGATGTTTCTAGCCCTCTCCCTTCCCCTCTCTCTAAAAATCAATAAAAACGTTTAAAAAAATCAAAATAAAATGCCAAAGGAACCCTTTATTGCTTCCTAGCTTAAAGCCTCCCTCAGCTCCCACTGCTTCGGTATAAAGCCTAGACTCTTCCACTCCCTGACCACGCCCACTGGAACCTGACCTTCCACTGCCTCACCTCCCCCCACCTCCCAATCCAGTCACCTGGAGGCCCCTGGTCAACAGGCTGCTTAGTGCCAGGGGCCTTGCTCCTGGCAGTCCTGCAGGTTCCTTTCCCCTTTCATTCCTGGCTGTCCTATCCTGCCAGGTGCCACAGGGCCTTCGGAGCTGGGCGGCCGAACTCCTGGTGCACCTGCCCCCGGTATTGTAATAGCGAGGGGGATAGAACCGCGGTGACCGATGTGTCCTGGCTTCAGTCAGGCTCCAGGATGGTGACCTGGGCAAGTTACTGACCTTCTCCCGCCTCCATTTCCATCCAATAAAATAGGGTCCATGATAAAGGTACCTAGTCAGGGGCTGTTGTGCTAATTACAGGGGTTTTAACATAGATAACCGGCTTAGAACAGTGCCCAGCATATCAAAGCTTAACAAAAGTTACTATTACCTTATTGTATCAGAATTCCGTTTCACATCCTCTCCACCCCAAGGCAGGCAGACAACACGCAGAGCCTAAGCTGTCTAATGCAGTAGCTACTAGCCACAGGTAGCTATTTAAATTTAAATGAATTAAGAATCGATTACATTTTTCAAAATGAAAAATAAACCCAGTTCCTGAGTCACACTGCACTGGCCACAGTTCAAGTGCTTGGTAGCCATGTGTGCCTGTGGGCGCTGTAATGGGCACCACAGACGTAGAACGTTTCCATCTACCACAGCAGAAATGGGCACCCTCACACCGCACCACACTGGACTGTGAACTTGAAGGCTGGGAACCTGCATTGTATCTTATTCATTTTTGTATCCCCGGCACTTAACACAGTGCCTGCCGCACTGGAGACAGTAATTATTTGAGGCCCTCAACCTCATCACTTTACAGGTTAACTAGAGGCCTGATGTTTGGAAGGTCGTCCGGAAGGACACCTGGAACGTCATTCGGCTGTCCGGTCTAATCAGCATATTACGCTTTTATTATTATAGATAAGGAAACTGCTTCAGAGAGCAACTTGCTCCAGGTCACACAGCCAGGACTAGGGTTCTGGTCCACATTCCTTCCAAATTAACATTCTACGACTGCCCAGTTTTCTCCCAAGTCACCACCCTCCCTGGCCTCCCCAGTGGCCTGACCCGCTGGCTCCCCCTCTCCTTAGATACTTGCTTTCCACTCTGGTCTCTGGGCAGCCTTGCCCCTGGCCAGGCCACTGCAGCCCCTCCTCTCTCCATCAGGTGCCCGCTCTCAGCCCTGGGTGCAGTTCCAACGGCAGGCTGCCCGCCTGCCTGTCAGCTCCACCTACAGCCAGCTCTGGGCCTCGCTCACACCTGCCAGCACCCAGCAGGAAATGCGGGCTTTCCCTGCCTTCCTGGGCACCGAGGCCTCCAGCTCAGGTAGGCTGGGTGCCAGGCACAGAAGGGATGTCCCCCACCTCGAGGGCTTACCCCTCAGCTCAGTGTCCCCTTCCCCTAGGCAATGGCTCCTGGCTGGAGCTGATGCCCCTGGCTGCCGTGAGCGTGCACCTGCTGACAGGCAATGGAACAGAAGTACCACTCTCGGGCCCCATTCACCTGTCTCTGCCTGTGCCCTCGGAGCCTCGCGCCCTGGCTGTGGGCACCAGCATTCCAGCCTGGAGGTTTGACCCCAAGAGTGGTGAGTGCCTCAGGGAGTTGCCGGGGCTGGAGTGTGGGGATAGAGACTTAGATGGGAGGACATTGACTCTGATGCAACCCCTGCTTCTCCCAGGGCTGTGGGTACGCAACGGCACCGGTGTGATCCGGAAGGAAGGCCGGCAGCTCTACTGGACCTTTGTCTCCCCCCAGCTGGGGTACTGGGCGGCTGCCATGGCCTCCCCCACGACTGGTGAGAGTGTGGTAGGGGGGACAGGGGGCAGTAGGGGAAGGGGAGGCTGGCAGAGTGGATTCCTTCTGAAAGGCAGGAAGGGCATCCACACCTGGAACGCTAAGCCCTTGCCTGGCACAGGGCTGGTCACCATCACAACAGGCATCCAGGACATCGGCACCTACCATACCATCTTCCTGCTCACCATCCTGGCAGCCCTGGCACTGCTGGTGCTCATTCTGCTGTGTCTGCTCATCTACTATTGCCGGTGAGTGATACCCAGACCCCACCTTCTCTCATCCCATGCAGACGGAGGCCCACCCTATGCCTGGCCTTGTGTTGGGTGCTAGGCCTCCAAAATGCACATATGCACATGCAGACTGAAAGGCTGGTGGCCTGAGACAAGTGGGAGGGAGGAGGCAGGACCGGCAGGGCAGGCCCCTCCAGAGACAACCAGCCCAGCTCTCACCTCCATGGGGCCTCCGGCTCGCACATCCTCCCAGGTTCTCACCGCATCCCTTGCATCCCCTACTGCGCAGGCGTGCAATTTACCCGAAAGGGACCCAAATGGGCACAGCTGCTAGCTGGACCGCCCACAGACATACAAGCTCTTTCCACAAACTTCTCCCAGGTTGGCTGGATGCCTCAGTCCCAGGCATTGTCCCGATCCTTCCAACTGTGTCCACCCCTCATCTTGCAGCTGTGGGTTAGGGAGCTGCTCCGACATGGCCCTTTCCTAAGGACCCGCCTGCCTTCTCCTCTCCAGGAGGCGCTGCCTGAAGCCCAGGCAACAGCACCGCAAGCTGCAGCTCTCCGGGCCCTCCGAGGGCAACAAACGAGACCAGGCCACCTCGATGTCCCAGCTCCATCTCATCTGTGGGGGGCCCCTGGAGCCCACCCCGTCGGGGGACCCCGAGGCGCCTCCTCCCGGCCCCCTCCACTCCGCCTTCTCCAGCTCCCGCGACTTGGCCGCCTCCCGGGATGACTTCTTCCGCGCCAAGCCGCGCTCCGTCTGCCGCCCGGCCGCCGAGCCTGCAGGTGCCCGCGGGGGCGAGGGCTCCGGGCAGAAGGGCGCCCGCTCCGTCGAGGGCCCGGGCGGGCTGGAGCCAGGCCTGGAGGAGTACCGACGGGGGCCCTCCCGGGCCACGGCCTTCCTGCCGGAGCCGCCCTCGCCGCCGCCGCCCTTCGAGCACTACCTGGGCCACAAGGGGGCGGCCGAGAGCAAGACGCCCGACTTCCTGCTGTCGCAGTCGGTGGACCAGCTGGCGCGGCCGCCGTCGCTCAGCCAGGCGGGGCAGCTCATCTTCTGCGGCTCCATCGACCACCTCAAGGACAGCGTCTACCGCAACGTCATGCCCACCCTGGTGATCCCCGCGCACTACGTGCGCCTGGGCGGCGAGGCGGGAGCCGCGGGGGCGGGCGACGAGCCCCTCCCGCCCGAGGGCACGGCCCCCGGGCCCGCACGCCCTTTCCCCCAGCCCGACTCCCAGCGCCCGCTCATGCCCGGTCACTCGGGCGAGGGCGGCGAGGGCGGCGGCGGCGGCGGCGAGGGCTGGGGCGGCGGGCGCTCGGCGCCGGTCAGCGGCTCGGTCACCATCCCCGTGCTGTTCAACGAGTCCACCATGGCGCAGCTCAACGGGGAGCTGCAGGCGCTGACCGAGAAGAAGCTGCTCGAACTGGGCGTGAAGCCGCACCCGCGCGCCTGGTTCGTGTCCCTGGACGGGCGCTCCAACTCGCAGGTGCGTCACTCCTACATCGACCTGCAGGCGGGCGGCGGCCGCAGCACGGACGCCAGCCTGGACTCGGGCGTCGACGTGCACGAGGCGCGGCCCGCGCGCCGGCGGCCCCTGCGCGAGGAGCGGGAGCGGGAGCGGGAGCGCGCGCCGCCCGCCGCCCCGCCGCCGCCGCCGCCCGCGGCCCCGCGCCTGGCGCTCAGCGAGGACACGGAGCCCAGCAGCAGCGAGAGCCGCACGGGCCTCTGCTCTCCCGAGGACAACTCGCTGACGCCGCTGCTGGACGAGGTGGCGGCGCCCGAGGGCCGAGCGGCCACGGTGCCCCGGGGTCGCGGCCGCAGCCGCGGGGACAGCTCCCGCAGCAGCGCCAGCGAGCTCCGGCGCGACTCGCTCACCAGCCCCGAGGACGAGCTGGGGGCGGAGGCGGGCGACGACGCGGGCGACAAGAAGAGCCCTTGGCAGCGGCGGGAGGAGCGGCCGCTGATGGTGTTCAACGTCAAATAGCGCCGCCTCCGGACCCGGCACCGCCCGCGGGTCTGGCTCCGCCCCGCCCCGCCCGCCCGCCCGGGCCTGTCCCCGGGGTGCGCACCCCAAGGGAGTTGCGGGGGCACTCGCTTTGAAAGGTGCCCAGAGGCCTGCAGAGCTGTTCAGTGGTATGTGCTGGGTAATGGCTTGGGAGGGACCCCATGGCTGCCTCCAAGAAGGCGGTGGGAGGGGTCCAGACCCCCCATTGGGAGGTGCTGGGGAGGCGGGCGGGGTGGGGGGCAAGCAGTGCCTGTATAAACGGTGTACATAGAAAGTTCTATTGTGAGAAAGCAGGAGGGGCAGCCAGGCCTTAGCTGCTAGTATGAGGGCTGGGAAGGGAGGGGGAGTTCTCTGTGGACCCCTGGGAAGGGAGGGGTGCTGCTTGCTGACTAGCCCACCTCTGGGCTACCAAGTCACGGGGCTAGTGGCTGGGGGGCTCTGGGCAACGGGATAATGTGATAGGACCGCTGTGGGCAGCAGCAAATATAAAACTGGTGAGATGAGCTCGGTGTGTGTCTGTGGGGCTGAGGGAACTGGGTGCTGGATGGGGACCCTTGCTCAGGGATCTCCCGGGGAAGGCAGGCAGGGCAGCCAAATCAGACACTATTAAGAAAGTGTACAAACTTTATTGGAGCACATACACACACACACACACACACACACATAGAAGCACACCTGTGGAGAGGGAAGAGCACCTGGCCACAGGGTCCATAGAAATTGAGAGAGAATGGCAGCTGGTAGCGTGGCTTTTGCCACAGCTCCCCGTGTGACAGGGAAGGCCTTAGATGGAGACCCCACCTCAATGATGGGGGACGCAGAATGGAGAGTCCAGGAGAATTTGGTGGGGGAGAGGTGACAGGGAGGCCTGAGCAGCGGGTGCCCTCCGAACAGGGCCCCGAGGGCTGTAGAGTGTCTTTGGTCCCCAGTCTCTCCTCACAGCAGCTGCCTTGGGGCCGGATCCCTCAGAGGAGTGTCCCAGCGCAGCGTCTCCTTGCGCAAACACTTGGTGCCCTTGGCCCCACAGCGGAAGCCAGCGGGACAGCAGTGACGCTGATCGGCACAACAGATGCCCTGGATGGTCAGAGGAGGGTACGAGGGTTAGGGCAGGACCTGGCCAGGCCCAGACCAGACCCAGGGGAGGGATGGCACTGACCTGGCGGTAGGGACAGCAGGCCCAGCTCCCGCGGCTGTCTCGGCAGCAGGTCTGGTTATCGTGGCAGAAGTGCCCCTCTCCACACTCCACGTCCCCCACACCCACATGAGGGCCGAGGGGCAGGTGGGCGGAATCCACCTCCTTCTCACAGGTTCGGGCCTTCACATTGCAGGTGTACCCATTGGGGCAGCAATGCTGGCGATCCTCACAGCACACAGCCTGGGGTGGGGGTGGGGGGGCAGAGTGGCATTATGCTCTTGTCCCCTCCACCCCCGGGACTCAGCTCCCCACTCCAGGGGCAGGCAGGTGGACACTCACGTGGGGCAGCTGGCAGCAGGCCCAGCTCTTACTCAGGCTTGGGCAGCAGGTCTGCCCCACTGGGCAGCTGGTGTGCTGGTCACAGTCCGTGTCTTTGGGTTTGGACAAGGAAGCCCGGTAGGCAGGCACCTTCTCCAGTCCAGCCACGATCTGGTTCCCCCGCTGACACTGCCCCCCAGCCAAGCATGTGTAGCCCTGAGGGCAACAGTGCTGGTGGTCCGAGCAGCAGACAGCCTGGCGAGGGAGAAAGGACAGAGAGTGATCTAGGAAGCTATACTGTGTGGGACGAGACACTGAGCCCCTATCCCATTCTTCTGCTTAGTCCTTCCAGCTGGGAATGAATTCTGAGAGCTGGTGTGCCCCTGTGGGCCAGGCAGAGAGCAGAAGAGCAAGGTAACAGGAGTCTGGCCACCTGCCCAGGTCAAGACAATGCCCCCCGCCCCCCCCCCACCACCATGCGACCCCAGTACCCATGCACCTCTGGGGCAGGACAGCAGCCCCACTCTCCAGACGCAAGTCGGCAACAGGTGGTAGAGGAGGGGCAGCTGGTGACATTATCACAGGGGACATCACTCTCCATGGCTTGGGGGACTGGCAGGCTGAGGTGGGCTGGGGCCTGCTCCATCCAGGGCAGCTGGCGGCCTTCCTGCATACAGGTACCCTTCTCTATGTCACACGTAAACCCGGCTGGGCAGCAGTGCACGTGGTCTTCACAGCACACAGCCTAGGGTGGGTAGAGAAGGGGCAGTAGGCACAGGGGCCTAGTTTGCTGCCCCCCTCAGCCCAGCCCACCCACCACTCCTGGGTACCTGGACATACGGGCAGCAGCCCCAGGCTCCCGTCGGTAGGCGGCAGCAGGTGTAGTCCTCTGGGCAGCTCACCTCCGTGTCACACTTCACCTCCTGCACTGTGGGTTGGGCAAGGAGGACAAGTCAGCAGTAGCACTGGGGACCGTCTGGAGGTCCTACCCTTGGTGGGCTCCACAGCTGGAACCAGATGTTGAGGATGGAAGGCCACCCCTGGCAGGGATCCTAAAGCGAAGCCCAATGAGGAGAAGAGGGGGCTGTACCTGCCCTGGCCCCTCCAAGCAGCCACCAGTGCCCGCCCCCATATCTGCTCCTGGAAGAGCCTGGTGGGAAGCTCCTCCTCCTGGGGCAGGTGGGAGTCTGGGGCCTGCTTCTGGTACCTGTGTGTGCTGGCAGCTTGGTGAGGAGGTCCGTACTGTTCTCCTGGAAGAGGCACTTCCCCTGGGCCAGGTCACACACGGTGTCCTGGGGGCAGCAGTGCTCGTGGTCGGAGCAGCAGATGGCCTGGGTGAAGGCAAGGGTGGGTCTTTGTGGCTTCCAGTCTTACTTGAGCACAAGGAAGTCAGGCTGACAGCTGGCACTGCCCCAATCCCCCACTAGGGGGTAGCATACATCCTGAGCAGCCAGGCTCCCAGCAACCTGTCAGCCAGCCTCAGGCCCCTGCAATCCCTGCAAGGTAGGTGTCCAGGCTAGGTGGCTGTGGGCACATAGCCCAACTGGCATAGCCCCTCACTCACATTAGGAATTGGGCAGCAGCCATATTTCCCATTAGGCAGCTCACAGCAGGTAGAATCGTCAGGGCACCGGGACTGTCCATCTGGGCACATGATCCCTGGAAGGGGAGAAAGGTGTGAGGGGCAGCCAGGGTGGAGGGGAACTTTTCCTCGGCTAGAAGCCAGGCAAGGCCTCTCCTTACTCCCAACCCCCAACCCGAAGTTCACCCATCTCTTCACCTGCTCTATTAGCCCTTTGTGCTGGGATCTTCTTTGCCAGGGGGAGGGTGCCCGTGGCGGTGAGGCAGCGGGTATGAGCCAGGTCACAGGTGGTACCACGGGGGCAGCAGTGCACCTTGTCTTCGCAGCAAGTAGCCTGAGAAGAGAAGGTCCTGACTGTCTTTGCCCCTCCAGCCCCTCACTCTGCTCCTGCTGCCCCCCTCCCACCCTATCTTCCCAAACCTGTACCTGGGGTATGGGGCAGCATCCCCAGGAGCCGTCAAGCGTAATGCAGCACGTGGAGGAGTTGGGGCACTCGAACTGGCTGCCGGGGCACTGGACAGCACCCAGGGGGTTGGTATCTGTGGACAGGATGACCCAGATTCCACCAACCCAGTCAGTGGAGGTCATTGCCTCCATCACTCAAGGAGCTGCTGGCACCAGGGCCTACACTCCCAGCTACAGGGGGTTGGGGGGCTGGCACTAGGGCTCAGGTACTTTTTTTTTTAAATCCTCACCCAAGGATATGTTTTTACTGATTTTAGAGAGAAGGGTGAGAGAGAGAAACATCAATGTGAGAGAGAAGCATCAATCAGTTGCCTCCTGTACACGCCCTGACTGGGGATCGAACCAACAACTTAGGTATGCGCCCTGACCGCGAATCAAACCTGCAATCTGGGTGTACTACGGGCTGATGTTCCAACCAACTGAGCCACCCGGCCAGGATCCCAGGCACTCAAACCACTCTCCCACAAGCCAGGTCTTGCTTCAGACACATGGCACGGGACAGGGGCATCCATTGACTGGGTTGGCATTAAACCAGCCCAATTTGGCCTCTCCCCACCCCTGCAGTGCCTGGCTCTAGGCCTGAGGTCCCAAGTGCTCTCCTTCCCCTCCCCGCCCCAGTGCTGCCCCTCTATCCAGAGCAGGGCGGGTGCTTAGTAGAGATGCCACACAAATGAGGACATGAGAGCAGAAATCAGGGTCACCCAGCCAGCTGGGCTCCTGGATGCTCCAGCTCTACATGCCACCCATCTGCCTGCCCTCCATCCCCACCCCTACTGCACCTGATCTTCGGAAGCAGGACTGCCCATCAGCACTGCAGTGGAAGCCCCTTGGGCAGCAGTGGCGGCCATCCCCGCATGACACGGCCTGTGGGACACAGAGACAGCTGCATTGACTAGGCCCTCTTGCCTGGGGCGGAAGAGTGTAGGAAACATGTGAACACAGAACTGAGCCCTCCATCGAGCTAATGGTGCCCTCACCTCTGGGAAGGGGCAGCAGCTGGAGGTCCCCAAGACAGTGAGGAGACAGGAGTGGCCAGGAGAGCAATGGGCATCAATCCGGCAGGGTCTGCCCAGATGCCTGCTCAGCGCTGTGGGCCATTTGTCCTGGGAAGAGAGGAGCGGATAAACCAAAGGACAGAGTCCGGCCCCTTCCTCGGGCCCACCCAACATGACCTTTTGGAAAACCCCAGCTGCCAGCTCGTGCCTGGGCTGAGGGCACTCACCAGGGGATTGCAGCAGCTGTAGCTGGCTCCTCCCGGGTCCAAGCAGCAGGCCACAGGGCAGAGTTGACCATCTGGGCACTGCGTTCCAGCCACCAGCCCTGTCACTAAGGCTGCCAAGCTCACCAGGGTCCACATGATCCACCTGCAAAGTACCAAGAGGCATTTGGCAACTAGCTTAAGTCCATGCCACCCTTGCTTCTGGGGCCAGTCTCCCCCCAGGCCCAGGCCTGGGACTACCTGAGCCTCCCCCACAACTCCTTATCCAGGGAGGAAGCAAGATGTGGGGCCTGAGATTCGCTTCCTACATGTGTCCTGTGTGTGTGTGTCACACATGCCGGAGTGCGTGTACACCCATGAACGCGAATGCTGACATGAGTATGTGTGAATCTGTGTCCCCAGCATGTGGCCTATCATGGGTGAATGTGTAGAAATGTGGTCATGTAAGAGTCAGGAAGATTTGTGGGTTTTGTGGGTCTGACCTGTGGGACTGGGCTGCCTCTGGGGTGTGGGGGAGGCATCAGTAGTCATGGGAAGACACACTGGTGCGAGGACCGAGTCCCCTCGGAAAAAAAGCCAGGGTTTCACTTCCCCAGCTCGCCCCTCTGAATGTCTCCTTGCCTGATACTGTGTTCACACCTGCACCCCGCTAAGGCCTGTTGGTGGGGGAGGGGATGTCACAAGACAACATGGGAAACCACGGGGTTGAGAAAAGGGAAGTGGAATCTGGGCTACCCGCCCCAGAGGCCAGTCACAACCTGCTCACTGGCCATCCCCCTCCTCACCAAGGGAAAGGGACACACAGGCTGGGTCAGCCTTTGAGACACTGTGTCCAAAGGGCCCTCAACACCACCAGGACCTTTCAGACTCTCCAAACATACCCTCCCTGCCCTTGCCAGTATCCTGGAGCCAAAACTCAGCTGCACATGAAGAGAGACCACAAGAGCCCATTCTGGAGTCAGAAGAAGGAACCAGCTTCGGTCTAGGGATGGGGCGCAGCCTCTCACTTCCTAAACAACTTTCCCCCAAGCTCAGCCAGCCCCACTAGTTCAAGGGCGGGCCCAGCTGTTACCCTGCCTCGAGGGGCAAAAACAGTGTTTGTTGAGCCTCTTGGGAGCCAGGCTAAGCAATCTACATTTTCTTTCTTCTTTGTAACCACCACCCAGAGTAGTAATTATCACCTTTACTTCCAAAGGAGGAAACTGAGGCTCAGAGATGCTAAGGAACATGCCCACGTCATATATCAAGTCCTAGAGGTGACAGGACTTGATGGCTCCAGAGCATATGGGACCCGGGTTCATTTCTCGCGGCACCACGCACAGTGCCTGGGAATGAATCACAAGCCCCAGGAGGGGTAGAGGCCTGGGGTCCAAGCAGAGGGAGGGGACAGAAGCATCTCCTGAGCAGGTGGACCAGGCAGGGCAGAAACAGGGAGGGCAGAAGCTGCCAGGATACAGCACGGGTCCTAGTCCTAGAATTGCCACCACTGATGATTATATGAGAGCCTCCAAAGTTGCCCCCTCCACAGCTCCTGGCCAGGTAAGGATGAAGACGACTGGTCCTAGACATCAGCCCCTTGCACTCTCTCCTCGACACCCACAGCCCCCAGGCAAGGGATCTACAGCTCGCCCCACCCACTTCTTGGCTTAGGCGTGCCTGTACAGCTGTCAAAGTATTCAGGTCCCTAATGATTTCTTTTCCTTCCTGGGTATCCTGAGGTTAGGAATGACAGTGTATGTGTCTACTGAATACACATGCAAGCACACACCCTCAGGACCAGAGATGGGGCAGGTGGGAGCCCAATTCCTCGCAGGTGGGTTTTGAGAGGCGGCCTCTCACCCCACCCCACCCACACGGCCAAAACAGAGAGGGCGAACCGGAGCCTCTCCAAGCCCCCATCTCTGTCATCTTCCACTAGGTGGCGCCCCCCAACTCTGAGTGTCAGAAGCAAGAGATTCCCAACATTTGAACTAACCCAACCTCGAGGCGCGTGAGCAAGGAAAAAAGTGGCTGAGAGGCGGAAGTTAGCTTGTCCTACCCGACAAGAAAGGAAGTAAGACAGAGCCAGACGTAACCACTCCCAAGCCCTTGGAGGAAGCCAAGCTCTCCAGACTCACTTCCAATCCTCTGAGCTCCGGGACTAGGAAGGGCGACCCTCCCGTTCCCAGGCGCCGTGGAGACGACCGACCTACCTACCTACCTACCTACCACCACCGCAACCAGACGGGGGAGGCGGAGTCGGCTCAAAAACAGAGCAGTCCCTGCTTTGCGGGAAGGGGCTGCAGCCCGCGGGAACGCGAGAAGGTAGAGAAAGAGCGTCCCTTCTAATGGGGGGTCACTGCCATTCTGCTTAGATTGCCACCCTTCAAAACACTCCCTCCAGTGCATCGCAAACCCCCAAAGACGACACTCTGAGCGTCTTCTCTTGCCTCCCGAATTGAACTCCGGAGGAACCTCAAGCACCCACGTCCCTGTGGCCGGGGCCTTGGAAAAGAGCGGGCGAGAGGTCTGCACTGCCGACCGCCTTACCTGCGTCCTGCTCCGCGCTCGCTGGGCAGCAGCAACCCCGCTGCTCACTGAGCCGGGCCTGGCAGCGCGATGCCCCGCCCACCTCAGTTTCCATTGGCCAGGCGTCCGGGCTGTCGAGCTCCCGTTGGCTACTCGTCGATGTAGAGGCGGGGCCATCCTGGAAGGCCGTGCTTCTTTTCTACTCAATTCACTCCCTCCCCCTTTTCTAGGGATCATGTGATTGGAGAATCATGTGATGGGCGCCCTGGCTTGCTCTTTGCCTGGTGGTTTGCCCGAGGTGAGCCAGCGCCCGTCTGCAGACATTGGCAGCCCAAGGAGCTGCCCCTTCGAGTGTGCGTTTAAGGGCGTTTGCGGGATGTTCGCTTCTGGATTTGGGACGCTTGTCCATCCTGTTTCTAGTCTATTCAACAAACTCAGATTGAACTTTGGGCTGAAAGAGAGTTGTGAGGGCAAGGATAAACCACTCGGCCCTTTCCCCAGGGTGCTCACCGAGGCCATGGGGTGTCGGAGGGAGACAGACTCAGATTCTACCTAATTTAAGGTACACGGTCGTGTGCCAAGTGCACGGTGTGTGTAGGGAAACGGTAGCAGGTTAGCTCTAAGCGGGAAGAAGAGATTTAATTCCACCTTGGGGGCACCTTTTTGAGCTGATCTGGGAAGGTTTGAACGCAGGTGGGATAAGTTGGATGGGATTGTTGGAAAGAGCATTAGGAAACGGGACGGAAAGGGCAGCCTTGGGCAAGGCTTGAATGCCAAGTTCAATGCAGTGGGGCTTGAAGAGTTGCTGGGTGCCTGGTACAAGGCCAGGCAGGGGGATGGATGCAGAGTGGGAGTGGTTTTGTGGTTTCAGGTAGCGCTGCCTTCCAGGAATTGACATGGCTGGTGAGGAGAGAGAGATGTACCACACAGAACAGGTTAGCCAACAATAGGAACCAGACTGTTCGGTGCCAAAGGGCCTAGCCCAGGCAGAGGCTGGTGATGGGGGACACAGCAGGAGAGAGGAGAGGCCCAGAGGAAGCCTGGTGCTGAGCCGTGGAGGAAGGAATGGAGAGTGCTGTAGGCTAAGCCAAGAGCTTGAGCTGAGGGTGAGACTGGGGTAGGGACAAATCCAAGTCTGGGTAGGGAAGGAGCGGCTGGGTTGGGGAATGGTGTGGCAGTGGTGCTCAGCCCGGGGCTCGCGAGGGACCAGACAGTGGATAAAGCTCCTGAGAACCGGGACTATTCTGCACACTGGTGATATTAGGGGCAAAAACAGAATATTGGTGGCTAGCTATAGTTATAAGAAATATTAATTATGCTCTTCTGTTCACCAAGATGGCCTTGTTCTGATTAAAGAAAGGACATTCTAACCTGGCTGGAAGTTGTACGCCCCCGGGACTCAGGTGTCAACCTGGGACCTCGCAGTCAACCTTGGACCCGAGTCAACCTTGGAATGCGGTCCATTCTCATTCAAGAACTGCCTATTTGCTCAGCCGGCATCACTCATCATTGATGTTTCTATCTCTCTCCTCCTCCCTTCCTCTCCAAAATCAATTAAATATATACAGATATTTTTTAAATGGATGCAGTGAACCTCCACTTCCTTGGAGGGTGTATAGGGCCCCTGAAGACTGCAGAACCTCCCCCTATTCCTCAAGAAACACTGCAGTATCCTTACACCCTCCAATTCAGGAATCTCTCTATCTTTTTCTGCTTTTTGCTTTTAAGGAGGGAGAATCATTTTGTGATCGGGGAAGCAAAACAAAAACAAAACAAACAAACAAAAAGAACCAAAGTTCCAGAGCCACACAGAGATGTGCCCTGTTCGCTGAGCCCTCCCAGCCGCCTTCACCAGGCCTTGTGATTTTTAATGGTGACAAAGTCAATTGACTGTAAATGTGACGGCTTATTTCTGACTCTCCGTTCTATTCCACTAAACCCGGTGTCTGTCCTTACGTCAGTTCTACACTGTCTTGATTACTATAGCTTTGTAGCAAGTTTTGAAATTGGGAGAAGTAGGAGTGCTCCAACTTCTTTTTCAATATATATATTTTTTATTATTAATTCTGAGTCCCTCGAATTTCTATGTGAATTTTAGGATCAGTTCCTGCAAAGGAGACAGTTGAGATTTTGATAGGGAATGCACTGAATCTATAGGTCAATTTGAGGTGCATTGCCATCTTAACAATATTAAGTCTCCCTATCCATGAACATGGGATGTCTTTCCATTTATTTGTTTCTTTATGACAGTTGTCAAGAATTTCATGCTATAAATGTTTTATAGTTTCCTTAATAAGTATCATGGAATGAGCTTTTATGTGTTTCCACTTTTTTAAGTTTTTCTTTTTTCTTAAATATATTTTTATTGATTTCAGAGAGGAAAGGAGAAGGGAGAGAGAGAAACATCAATGATGAGAAACATTGATCAACTGCCTACTGCACACCCCACACCGGGGATTGAACATGCAATCTGGGCATGTGCCCTGACTGGGAATTGAACTGTGACCTCCTGGCTCAGCCACTGAGCAACACCAGCTGGACTGTGTTTCCAGTTTTTTGAAGTTACCAATAATTATGCAATGAATATTTGTGAACAGGTATCTGAGTGCACGTGGTGGGGTTAAATGCCTAAATGTAACATCGCTGGGTAAAGGGTCTGCATATTTGAAATGTTTATGACAAATTCCCTTAAAATTTTCCAACTTACACTCTCAGTCATGGTGTTTGAGGGGCACTTATTTCCCATTTACTTGCCAACTTTGGATATGCCAGTTTAATTTTTTTTTTTTTTTTTTTAGCCAATCTGTCGAAGATATTCCCTGGTTGTTTTATCAGCATCTCCTTGATCTCTAGGGAAGCTGAGTATTTGTGCGTATACTTATTCTGTTTATATATTTCTTCTGTGAATTGCCTGTTCTTATCTGCATTAGTCAGGGTTCTCCAGAGAAACAGAACTAATTGCTTGTGTACGTAGAAAGAGATTTATTAAAAGGAATGGACTCACATGATTATGGAAGCTAGCAAGTCCAAAATCTTTGGGGTAAACCAGCAGGCTAGAGACTCAGGGGAGCAGATGGTGCAGATGAAGTCCAAAGGCAGTCGCTGAAAAATTTCCTCTTGCTTAGAGAAGCCAGTTTTTTTTCTATTCAGCCCTTCAACTAATTGGAGATGGCCCACATTATGGTGGGCAATTTGCTTCGGACAAAATTTATCTCTTTAAATATTCATCTCATCCAAAAACACCCAAAAAGTTGACAGATAAAACGATCTCCTTATCCTTTGTTCATTTTTCTACAGTTTGTCTTTTTCTTATTGAACTGTGGAAGTTCTTTATACATGCTGGATATTATATATGTTACAGATGTCATTTGCCTTTTATCTTTGTTTATGATAACTTTGTAGTCAGGAGTTGTGTTATTGTTATGTCATCGGAAATCTAGCAATCAATCTTTTCCTTTGTGACTTCTGCCCCCCCCATCCTCCCACTCCCTCACCCACCCACCACCCCCCACTTAAGAATTTACAGACATGTGCTTCCTGGTCCATTTCTATTCCTGCTGTAGCCCCAGCCGAACTGGATCTCAGAAGCCAGTCCTGGGCTGGATTGAGGACCACAAGTGACAGGAAATGCCACTCAGGAGCCCCTGGATGTGTCCCTCTGGCTAAGAGGTTCCTCTAGGGCAGTGATGGCGAACCTATGACACGCGTGTCAGAGGTGACACGCGAACTCATTTTTTTGGTTGATTTTCCTTTGTTAAATGGCATTTAAATATATAAAATAAATATCAGAAATATAAATCTTTGTTCTACTATGGTTGCAAATATCAAAAAATGTCTATATGTGACACAGCACCAGAGTTAAGTTAGGGTTTTTCAAAATGCTGACACGCCGAGCTCAAAAGGTTCGTCACTGCTCTAGGGCAGTCCCAGGGTGGCCTTCAGAGGTAGTGGTCTGGATAAAGGGTTGGGGAGCTCCCCTCTCACTTCCTCATTCCACTTCTCTCAGCCTCTGCCTGTGTCTTCCAATCGCCTCTGCAGGGTTTTCTTCATTCAGAGTGACCACTGTTCTGACCCCAGAGTCACACCTGCCCCAGAGCAGGGGCCTCTCCCCCTGAGATCTTGGGTTGCCCAGTTAAATTTGAATTTCAGATTAGAAACTCTTTTTTTAGTATAAGAAGGTCCCATGCGATATTGGAGACAGACTTACACTTAAAAATTACTCATGGTGTGTCTCAAATTCAACTGGACAGCTTGAATTTTTATTTGCTAAATCCGACAGCCCTGAAGACTGAGGTTGGAGTGGGGCACGGAAACAGCCTCTCCCTCCCTTATTCTTACTCCTTCCCCTTCCTGCCTGACTCACCTTGGGATGAGCAACTGTTGCCCCAGTTCCGGAGGCGCCTGCCCTTCCTCATCATCAGGCACCTGACTGGTGCCCGCGGGGCTGGGCTAGGCCCTCCCGTCTGTCCGGCTGGCGGGTGTGGGGGAGAGGAGTCTGAACCGGGCCAGTGTCCTGGCTAGAGGCTGTGGAGGGATGTTTGGCAGCAGAGGCACTGGATACAGTCAGGAGACCTGGGTTCCCGCCCCAGCACAGACTGAGCTTTTGCAGTGCCCTTGGGCAGGCCTCCTTCCTTGTTGCTGTTTTTTCATCAATTATTATTTTTATCAAAGTCTGACATGCAAATAAAATTTTAGACAAATTATCACATGAAGTAGCACTCTTGTCCTCTTTCCTTTCCTGCTCTCGACATCCACTTTCCAACTTTTCAACAGTGTCTTCTGTGAGTTTCCCCTGCATCTGTAAATCAGCGTGCGGCTGAGAATTCTTGATTGGCCTCTGGCCTCGGTGTGTTCATCTGGGCAGTGAGAGAGCGTTACCCTGCTCCATGCCAGCTGGGAGGTTCAGAGCCTACAGTGAGCTGCAGCCACTCCACCCGGCCCTGGGGGTAGGCCCATATCTCTCTGCTTGAAGAGTGATACCGGATGGTATCTTTAAATCCAGTTGTGAGGTATGGAATGCAGGGTGGGGGTGGAGGGAAAGGGGAGGGGTGTGTGAGGAAGGGGAAGGCAGGTGGGAGAAGCCTGGGAGGGGAGTCCTTTCCTTGGCTCTTCCCAGGCCCTGGCCGGAGGGGCCTCCAGGGTTCTCCGCCCCAGATGCTCCCTGGAATCACCTGGGGAGCGTTTGTAGCCCCAGAGGATCTGATGTGCGGGTCTGCGGCCCCTCCTCCAGCTGAACACCCCCCCACCCGCCCCGCCCCTGCTTTGCAACGGGAACCTGGTGCTGGTGAGGAAACTCTGGGTCCCTCTTCCTCTTCCAGCTATGGGATTGGGCTTATTCTCTGCCTCGTTTCCCCGTCTGTACATTGAGGCCACTGACAATGAGGCCCTCCCCGCCACGGCCCTAGCACAGGATCGGAGACAAGTACATGCTTGTGGAGGGGGGAGTCCCAAAAGTCTAAATGCAGGATCGATTTCAAAGAACTGACATGTATAGTTTTATTCAAATTCAGAAGAGCTTTAATAGGAGGAACTTACACACACACACGGGCAAAGCAGCTGCTTGCTGCCAGGGGTGGCCGGCTGTGCGTCAATCCACCCCGCCCAGGACAGGCTCTCTTTCTCATAGGCGGTTAAAAGCATATGGTGGGTAGTCACAGACCACCAGTGGGAACAATGCATTTCTGGATTAGCCGATAACACCAGGCAGTTTTCCACACACTATATGCATTCATTAACCCCTGGGGCCTGGCCTTTCTCTTTGCGCAGCATTCTGGCTTTCTGGGTTGTCAGCCAAACCTGAGGCTACCGAGAGTTAAACAGTCACAGGTTAAGCCCAGGCCGGTTTGGCTCAGTCGATAGAGCGTCCCAGGTTTGATTCCGGTCAAGGACACATGCCCAGGTTGCAGGCTTGATCCCCAGTAGGGGGCGTGCAGGAGGCAGCCGATCAATGGTTCTTTCTCATCATTGATGTTTCTATCTCCCTCTCCCTTCCTCTCTGAAATTAATAAAATATATTTTAAAAAAAATAAACAGTCACAGGTTAAACAGAGTCCAATATTTCCCAGATGCCTTTGCTGCTGGAGACATATTGCATCTCTGAGCTCCCCTACCGCTCTCAGTAATGAAGCTACTGGGGCCATCATTGTGGTGATTCCTCCCCTTGGGCCCTCCCAGAAACCCCTTCCCCTTTCCCTCCCCCGCCCCCACACACACCTGGTAGATTGCCCACCTGTCCCTGGGCCCACCTTGCCCTCTCCTCCCTAGCCCTGGCATACATGTCCCTCCTCCTAGAAACCCACCTGGGTCCCGCATGTGGCTGCCCTTTCCCATTCTGCTGGCCTGATGTCACCTGGGGCAATTTGCACCCGGTCCATTTCAGACTCCTGTGCAGGGTACCCCTCACACTGGAACTGTCAGGCTCCCTTAGCCAGACAAGGGCAGAGGTGGCAGTGATGGGGTCAGGTGGGGGGAGACACAGGGTAGGATGGGTCTAGCTGACTTCTCTTCTCCCATCCAGATGTGGGGGCATCTGCCTCCTACAGGAGAGAGACAGCATTTTGCCTGGTTAAAGCTTCAGTTTCTTATGTTCTGAGGGCAGTGGGTGATCAGTGGGGGCTGACACTGATCCCAGGGAGTCTCCAGGAAGCCGGAGTGGCCCCCAGGACAGGCAGGCGGCAAGTGGCAGCAGATGGCGGGGGACGAGAGTCAGTTCTTTCCTGGAAACCTGGACAATGGGCTGGGATCTGAGCAGAAGGCCCGCGTCATTGCCTGCTGGTCTCAAATTCCAGCTCTGCCTCTTACCAGCTGGGCGACTTCGGCTTATTCTTTGACCCGAAATGCCCAAACTGTCATTTCCTTCTCCATCATTCCTATATTTGAAAGAATTTTTGGCAACCAAATTGCATTTACTCAGAGCTAAGGACCTCATTTTTCTGTTAAAATCGACAAAATCAATGATATAAAAATCAGACCCCACTAGAGTGAACAAAAGAAAATTCAGCCAAGGTCTGACCAACACTCCCCAGCTGCTCCAGGTGCAGGCCCTGCCTCCCGTGTCCCTCCCCCAGAAGGGGTGGCCTCTGGTCCTGGAAGGCTTGGGGTGGGGGGGAGGGGGTGTTGATGGCCCAGCCAGTGCCATGCCTCCTGATGGGTACAGAGAGCACCCTTCCCCACCCCGTGTCCTTTTCTGAATCTGAGGATCCCCTGAGGGCACTACGCCCCTGAATGGTTGCTACACTGCTGGTCAGCTCCACAAGTTGGAGGCCAGCTTTTGTCCAGGGCAGCAGCCGAGAGGGCGGGCCTTAGAAGGGGAAGGTCAGCTTGGGGGGTGGGCACTAGTAGTTGATCTTTGGAGCTGGGCCTTAATGAGCTGAATCGGGATGATGTATTGCATGCCTGCTCCGTACACGTCCCTGAGTTCTTACAACAGCACTGCAGCCCCGGCCAGTTTGGCTCAGTGGGTAGAGCGTTGGTCTGCAGACCAAAGGGTCCCGGGTTCGATTCCAGGCAAGGGCACGTACCTCGGTTGCAGGCTCCTTCCTGGCCCGGCACCTGGTCGGGCCTATGCAAAAGGCAACCCATCGATGTATTTCTCTCACATCGACGTTTCTCTCTCTGTCTTTCCCTTTCCCTTCTGAATATCAATGGATGGGTGGGGATTAAAAAACAAAACAAAATACTGCTGATTATGATCTCCATCTCACAGATGTAGGAGGCGCTGAGGGTCTTATCTCCCAGCTATTAAACAGTAGTGTTGGTGACTGAGTCCAAGTGGGTCAGACCCCCCCATAGCTTTTCCCACAACACCAGTCTCCCCTGAATACTGACAACAGCTCAGTTCGATCCTCCCCACAGCCCACCTCGAGCTCTCCTGGCCCTTCTCCATGCAGGCTCCCTACGGGTCAGGGGATGTCCGCTCCAAGATTCAGTTTCCTCATCTGTAAAATGGGTACAAAGTAATTCCCACATGCCCTCTACATGGTCATGTGAGATTCAAATGGGATAATGGGTGTGAAGAGACTTTGTGAACTGGCACATTAAAAAAGGGAGGAGCCCTAGCCGGTTTGGCTTCTTACTGTGTTAGCCTGAGGACTGAAGGGTCCCAAGTTCGATTCCGGTCAAGGGCACATACCTCGGTTGCAGGCTCATCCCCTGCCCTGGTCTGGGTGTATGTGGGAGGCAACCAAAGGATGTTTCTCTGTCTCTCCCCCACCCTTCCGCTCTCTCTAAAAATCAATGGAAAAATATCCTCAGGTGAGGATTAACAAAAAATAAATACATAAAAAAGGAAGGAATTGTTTTAGGACATTAAAGGGGTTTCTCTTGCTAATCTGATCATCTGTCTCTGGAGACAGCCCTCCCCA